TATAGAGTTTGGCTCGTAGAATCCATAATTTCAAACAGTTTCAAGATTGGACTACTAGATCAAAAGTTACAGCCCTTTGAACTTTTTCGAAATTTTAATTTGTCCATAACCTTTGATTGAGGAGCCTGATCGAAAAAGTACGAATCGTTTTGGATTCTACGCACCAAAATTAGTGAGAAAAAGTGTTTTCCCGAGAAATTTTGGAGAAGTCGATTTTTGGTAAAAAAGGAAGGTAATACACTGCCTTTTTTTGAGGCCGGAAAGAAAAATTGTCTGAGATCGACCGGGAAAAAAACATTTTCTTATAGAGTTTGGCTCGTAGAATCCATAATTTCAAACAGTTTCAAGATTGGACTACTAGATCAAAAGTTACAGCCCTTTGAACTTTTTCGAAATTTTAATTAGTCCATAACCTTTGATTGAGGAGCCTGATCGAAAAAGTACGAATCGTTTTGGATTCTACGCACCAAAATTATTGAGAAAAAGTGTTTTCCCGAGAAATTTTGGAGAAGTCGATTTAAAAAAAGGAAGGTAATACACTGTCTTTTTTTGAGGCCGGAAAGAAAAATTGTCTGAGATCGACCGGGAAAAAACATTTTCTTATAGAGTTTGGCTCGTAGAATCCATAATTTCAAACAGTTTCAAGATTGGACTACTAGATCAAAAGTTACAGCCCTTTGAACTTTTTCGAAATTTTAATTAGTCCATAACCTTTGATTGAGGGGCCTGATCGAAAAAGTACGAATCGTTTTGGATTCTACGCACCAAAATTAGTTAGAAAAAGTGTTTTTCCGAGAAATTTTGGAGCAGTCGATTTTTGGTAAAAAAGGAAGGTAATACACTGCCTTTTTTTGAGGCCGGAAAGAAAAATTGTCTGAGATCGACCGGGAAAAAACATTTTCTTATAGAGTTTGGCTCGTAGAATCCATAATTTCAAACAGTTTCAAGATTGGACTACTAGATCAAAAGTTACAGCCCTTTGAACTTTTTCGAAATTTTAATTAGTCCATAACCTTTAATTGAGGAGCCTGATCGAAAAAGTACGAATCGTTTTGGATTCTACGCACCAAAATTATTGAGAAAAAGTGTTTTCCCGAGAAATTTTGGAGAAGTCGATTTAAAAAAAGGAAGGTAATACACTGTCTTTTTTTGAGGCCGGAAAGAAAAATTGTCTGAGATCGACCGGGAAAAAACATTTTCTTATAGAGTTTGGCTCGTAGAATCCATAATTTCAAACAGTTCAAGATTGGACTACTAGATCAAAAGTTACAGCCCTTTGAACTTTTTCGAAATTTTAATTAGTCCATAACCTTTGATTGAGGAGCCTGATCGAAAAAGTACGAATCGTTTTGGATTCTACGCACCAAAATTAGTGAGAAAAAGTGTTTTCCCGAGAAATTTTGGAGCAGTCGATTTTTGGTAAAAAAGGAAGGTAATACACTGCCTTTTTTTGAGGCCGGAAAGAAAAATTGTCTGAGATCGACCGGGAAAAAAACATTTTCTTATAGAGTTTGGCCCGTAGAATCCATAATTTCAAACAGTTCCAAGATTGGGCTACTAGTTCAAAGGTTACAGCAATAGTTTACGGTGTTTCAGTTTCAGACAAGGGTCGTGCGTAGGACGTTATCCAATGAACCTTGAGGGATTGAATACGTATCTCTGATTGAGAAATGAAAATCCGGTGATCCTGAAATAGGACTAATCAAAAACCCAGAGCAAGTAGAAGAGTCTATACGAAACTTGTCAAAGCGAGATGTACAATACCAAAAAAGTGCCAAAAAAATCTACTATTCTTGAGAACAAATGCTATTCCTACGAAAATTTAATCAAATTTACCAAATAGGCGATTGTGAGTTATCTCGGGCGTGTGGTAAACATTTCTAGCAACAATGTCATGTTTTGATGACCTTTAACCCATTATGTGATATGGCCAAACTTTCTAAAACCGTCCATATATAGGTGGAAACCTTGCGGAATTATTACAGTATTTGTCAAGAGAAAGTCCAGAATGAAACTGTTTGTTTTTTGTGTCGCCTTCTGTATGACACAGTTGGTGTCCTCAGAGAACTCTCCACTCCTTCAACAATTTGCAACTGGTAGTGTTCAATTTACAGCGGATGTCTACAGGGTAAGTCAACACCTAATTGGTAATCAACTCTCATATCCAAATCCTTGCAGCAACTTAAGGAGATAAACGATGGGGACAATTTCCTGTTTTGCCCACTCTCCGCCCTCATCATTTTAGGCCTGACCCAAACCGCCGCCCGAGGAGTTACCGCTCAACAACTCTCGAATGGGTTACATCTCCCTGAAGATCGGAAAACCGTCGAGCAGACATTCCAACAGCTCCTGCCGGCTCTAAAAGGGAACGACAAGTATACCCTTACCAGCGCGAACAAAATTTACGTCAAGAACGGCTACAAGATCAAAGAAGAGTACAAGAACATCGCTCAGAATTCCTTCGGTGCGGAAATTCAAAACATAAACTTTGAGGACAAGAATGCGGCGGCTGCCGAAATAAATGGCTGGGTGGCCTCGAAAACCCAAGACAAAATTCGCGACTTAATCGATGCCTCTAAGTTGAGCAAAGACAGTCGCTTAATGCTAATCAACGCGCTCTACTTTAATGGCAGCTGGCTTTACACGTTCAACGAAAGGAACACCCTCAAGAGGAAATTCTTCACCAAATCCGACAGCCACATCGAAGTTGACATGATGGAGGCCACTCGATATTTCAAGTACCACTCGTCGTCGAATTTAGACGCGCAGTTTTTGGAAATGCCTTACAAAGGTGATGACGTTTCGATGGTTGTAGTACTACCTAACCAAGTAGAAGGACTGTCCGCTTTGGAAAATAACATCGAAGCTGTTTTGAATACCAAACTGGACGAGAAGGTCAATGTTCATCTTCAGTTACCAAAATTTAAACGAGAGACAAGGGTGGAATTGAAGAAGATTCTTCAAAATGTAAGTTCTTCCTGGTCATCTCCTCCAACCAAGCGTTTTTGTTTTACAGCTCGGGATAACGGACGCGTTCGCCGACTCCGCCGATTTCAGTGGGTTCGGTGAACCGGGCCAACGGCCCGTTAAGATCAGCGACGTCTTACAAAAGTCAGTTGTCGAGGTAGACGAAAAGGGAACCGTTGCAGCCGCAGCAACCCTTGGTAAGTTGATCCATTGGAAGCATTCTCAAATTATGACGATTGAATTTTGCAGTTCACGTCGTACAAACCCACATACTAATACAAAGGCCTCCTCCGAAGCAATTCATCGCTGATCATCCGTTTATTTACTTCATCAAATCGCCCGCTGGTGTTATGTTTATCGGTCGCTATGTTAAGTAATTACTGGTTTTTTAATGTGTGATTATAAACTCTAATAAACAACTCAATGTTATGCAATTAATTATCTATTTGTGAATTATTACTTCGTTATCTACTTGAGCCTCCTTCATGACTCAACTCAATAGAAGTGTGGATGGTGTTCCAAATTACTATCGGCGAAAGCTGCAAAACCACGTTAGACCTCAGAGCAGGTCCCTGATGGTCACACATTATTCCACTATCACACGCCATTCGGGATCTATTCTATTCCCAGGGGAGCCCAACCGGGCAGCACTTAGGCACAACAGAGGCCCATTGTGCCTACCCCCTTTCTTTCGCAACTGAGTTCAGTCGCTTCACCCTCCCCAGTTCCATATAACTGTCTCCAAGGAGTTGATGTCAGTCCCTGATCAAAACGTCACAGTGACTGACCACATGCTCGGTAGTTTCATCTGCCTCGCCACAGAACTATGCACGTGATCGACCGAGAGCTGACACCAGCTTCCCCATTGGTTAGCATAGCACCGTGTTTCAGACAGAGATGTTAGCCATTATGAACTGTGCACAAAGAACCTCCGGAGAGGTTACCGTAATAAGCATATAGCATGGAGGAAATTAAAAACATGATGATAACACCTTAACAAGAGTATGATGGAAATGATAAATGACGTCAGAAAAGAAATAACGGAAATGAGAGAAGAGTTTAAAAGGGAAATGCAGGCAAAATCAAGAGAAGGAAGAAAAATGGAACAAAGAAGAACGAGAACTAGCGGAGAGAATAGACAAACGAGAATGGAGACTGAAAAAAGAGGAAAGGATGAAGAAAAAAAATAACGTTATAATTAAAGGGGAAGGGGCAAATAGTATTAAGGAAACAGACGCAATAAATTTCCTAAGAAATGAATTAAAAATAAATATTTCTACTACAGAAGCCCGTACAATACTGTAACGGAAATGCTCCAGACATGACGTCGCCTTTGGCGCTCTGGAATTTTGTACGCGCGATAGTGATTTTGTGTAGGAATATTCTAGAATGTACTGGACTTACATTGCTTGCGTGTATAAATGGTTGCGGACCGAACATCGCGGCAGTCTACTATCGAACGAGATCGAGCACGGAAATATAAATTGCGAAGTGTGTGTGATATAATAATCACTTATAATTGCACAAGAGGTTTGTATTTTACCGAGTAAATTTGGGTTGTTTAGGTAACGAAAATCTGTTGCCTAGCAATTAGACGAGAAAAACTGTCAACTAATAAAAATGCGACACCGAAGGTGGAGCATTTTTAGGTTGACAGTTTTTCGAGTTCAATTGCTAAAAGGAAACAGATTTGAATTGCAACAACCCAAATTTACTCGGTTTAAATACAAACCTCGAGTGTAATTCGGCAGGACAATTTAACGAACAAGAAATTCACATAACTAATCAATTACTGACAGACGTCAAACTAGTCATATGGGAAAGGATAATGCGATAATTGGTTCGAAAATGAATAAGTGAAAAAACCACTAGTGCATTTGTCGCTGGAAAAGTTGCAGGTAACTTTTGCCGTTGTCAAAGTGACAATTTCACTGCGGCTTATGCGATTTTTTATACATGAGTTGAATTGTCGATATAAATTGTACGGATTTTATAGTGTTTTAGTTCTGTTTAATAAATATTGATATAAATCGAACCCGAATTTATAAATCACGTTACATTGGTGTCAGATGTGGAATTAATTAAATTAAAAGTAAGATTAAATTAAGTGCTTCTGCTTGTGTATGCCTGTAACAAGATCTGCTGCCGCTAAAATGGAAGAAACGATGCTCAATTTGCTCCAACAAATCCAAAATGGCCAACAAGTGTTGCAACAAGAAATGAAAAGCAACCAAGAGAAGATGGAAGAAAATTCTAGAAATTTTGAAGAGAAGTTCGAGAAAATGGAAGAAAATTCTAGAAAGATTATCGAAGAAGTCTCTAAATCAATTGAAGAAAAAGTTGAAGATAGAATTACGGAAGTTTCCAAAACATTTAAAGCAACATTCGTCGAGATTGAGCACAAGTATGAAGAGCTGCGCGAGCAATTCTTGCGACTGACTACGGAAGAGCGTACTAGTAGTGCCCCAGATGAATTACTGATGGACCGTCTTCTTGAGGTGCCACAGCTTACTCATTACAAGAAGGTCGACCCAGAAACAAATACAAGAGTAGAAGGCGACGTTCAGCAAGCCCGAGTAAAGCCACCTACTTTTGATGGTAAGATTCCTTGGACCTCGTACGTTCGACAGTTTGAAGCAGCGGCTGCGGCAAATAAATGGACTCTTCAAGACAAAACTACAGCCCTGATTTTTGCTCTGAGAGGAGATGCTCTGGATGTGTTGCGGACCATCCCCGAGGATCAACAGAACTTCCAACAAATAGTAGCGCGACTCGAAATGCGATATGGCGATAGACACCTTCAGCAAGTTTACTATGCCCAAGTCAAGAACCGAATGCAGAAACCTGGAGAAAGTTTGCAGGAACTTGAAGCGGACATCGCTAGACTGATTCGATTGGCATACCCTACGGCACCGGAAAGCTTTCTTGATCAACTGGCTGTACAAACATTTATCGATGCCGTTCGTGATGGAGATGCCCAGCAGGCTTTGAGACTGGCTAGGCACGACAAAATTGAGAAAGCTTTGGCCCATGCGTTAGAATTCGAAGCCGCCAAGAAAGCTAGTCATGGAAGTGCGCGAGTACGTATGGTGGAACCTCGCAGTGACAGCCGGGTAAGAACCATCGAAGAGGAAGGTGGTTCTGAAAGTTTTGAAGAAAAGCTCAGTAAAGAAGTGGAAGAAAAGGTCAGTAAAGTAATGGAAGAGAAGATCAATAAAGCAATACAGTCACTGGCAAAGAAACGTGAACCACGACGAGATTGGACACGTTCGCCGCAACTGCCAAAAACCATTGCAGCACTCGGAAAACTAAGAAAGATCGACAGGAAGGGGCTATCGTCGACCTGCAGAAACAAAGCCCCGATCTTCACTGTAAACATTTCGTCGTCTGGAAAAGTTCACAATAATGCAGACGCTTTGTCAAGAAGACATTGTTCTAAAATAGAAGACAAGATTGGTCATCTGCGACGAACAACTGTAGAGAGTGGGGAATGGAAGCCAAGCGAAATCAGAACGGCCCAAGAAAACGACCCAAGTATAAAAACTGTTCTGAATTGGATGCGCCACGGACAAAGACCAGGCTGGCAGGACATTAGTGCCACAAGTCCTGAAGTAAAAAGTTATTGGGGCCAATGGAATAGCCTGACTCTGAAAGACAACCTGTTGTATAGGACCCTTGAAAGTGAAGATGGCACCGAATCGACGCTGCAATTAGTAGTACCTAGAAGCAAAGTGTCGGAAGTATTGCGAAAATTGCATGACGGCGCTTCCGGAGGACACTTTGGTATTACGAAAACGTTGCAAAGGGTACGTGAGCGATTCTATTGGGTCAACAGTAAAGAAGATGTCCGGCGATGGTGTCAAAAATGTGAGTTATGTGCTACTGGAAACGGACCATTTTCCAAGAAGAAGGCACCCATGAGGCAGTATAACGTTGGTAGTCCGATAGATCGAGTTGCTATCGATATCGCAGGACCGTTTCCCGAGACAGATGGCGGAAATAAATATATCCTAGTCGCTATGGATTATTTCACAAAGTGGACTGAAGCTTACGCCATTCCAAACCAAGAGGCAGCAACAGTTGCAGAAGTGTTGGTAAAGGAGTTCTTTACACGTTTTGGTGTTCCTATAGAAATCCATTCAGATCAAGGAAGGAACTTTGAATCGGCTTTGTTCCAAGATGTTTGTCGATTGGTAGGAGCCAATAAAACCAGAACAACACCTTTGCATCCTCAGTCAGATGGAATGGTTGAGAGAATGAATCGAACGATGGGTAAATATCTTTCAAAAGTCGTGGCAGAACATCAGAAAAATTGGGACCAGTACCTCCACCTGTTCCTTATGGCATATCGATCAGCCGTCAACGAGACCACGGGTCAGACTCCTGCCTGCCTTATGTTGGGTCGTGAACTACGCCTTCCATGTGACCTCGAGTTTGGGCGTAAACCCCATGAAGAATATGTCGCAGGTGAAAATTATGTTGACCAACTAAAGGCGAAGATGAACGACATTCACGACTTGGCTAGAAGTCATATTCAGATTGCCAGCGATCGCATGAAAAATCAATACAACCTCCGCTCGGCCAATGAAACTTTTGAAGCTGGAGATCTGGTATGGCTGCACAATCCACAGAGGCGAAGAGGTCTTTCTCCTAAGCTACAAAGACAATGGGAAGGTCCGTATGAGGTGATCAAGAAAATAAATGACGTGATATATCGTATCAGAATGAACCACCGGAAACCGAGAGTTGTCCACATTAATCGACTCGCACGATATGCCGGATCCAACAACAACGAAGAAGTTAGAGGTATTCGAGAAGAGGAACGCAGCTTTGGGATCGAGCCAAATTTTAACGATTTTATGTCAAATTACGCCCAGCGGAAGAAAGCTCGATTTGGCGTTACTCAGGAAATTTGTCAAAATATTTTTGAGCTTCCGGTTAACGTTTCCATCGCCCATTGTGTCGCCGAAGACCTTCGCATGGGTAGAGGTATAGCTTCCGTATTCCGGAAAAGATTTGGAAGAATAGACGAGTTGATAAAGCAAAGACCACGAGTGGGTAAAGTACTGCGCTTGGAAGATAGTCAACGCTCTTTGTTCTACTTGGTTTCAAAGAAAACGTCAGAAGGCAAACCCACCTATGAAAACCTCTGGTCTGCTTTAAAAAACTTAAAGAAACTCATGGCATACTATGACATAAATAGCTTGGCGATCCCGAAGATTGGATGTGGTTTAGATGGGTTGGACTGGAAAATAGTGCGAACCATGATCGAAGTGATTTTTATAAACACTAGCGTTCGAATTACAGTATGCTGCTTCAACCCACAGGGGACGACCCTCCGCAAAACTGTGGACTGTTGCTTTTTCAAGAAAGGTGTTTGTCGAGCAGGCTCTGACTGCAGATTCCGACACGAGGCATTAAAAAGTAATACTAACGCAGTTTCTGAACGAGACGTCCAGAATTAAGAAGGGGGCAGTGTAACGGAAATGCTCCAGACACGACGTCGCCTTTGGCGCTCTGGAATTTTCTACGCGCGATAGTGATTTTGTGTAGAAATATTCTAGAATGTACTGGACTTACATTGCTTGCGTGTATAAATGGTTGCGGACCGAACATCGCGGCAGTCTACTATCGAACGAGATCGAGCACGGAAATATAAATTGCGAAGTGTGTGTATAATAATCGATATAAATTGTACGGATTTTATAGTGTTTTAGTTCTGTTTAATAAATATTGATATAAATCGAACCCGAATTTATAAATCACGTTACAATACAAAATAGAGAACGAAAAATGGGGATTCTAATAAAATATACAAATTGGGAGGAAAAAAATTGAATCATGAGGAACAGACAAGCCCAAAGAGATGAAAAGGTATACATATATCGATCGTGAAAGGGGACGAAGAGGGAGAATATACATACAAAGGCAGCAGAGGGCAGTCGGTAATATTATTCTAAATGAAAAAGGGAAAGAACACTTAAAAAATGTTCAAGTAGACCAAAGAATAGAATCAGATCACCAACCAATATCCACAACGATGAAAGGCAGCGCTGATACACAATACAAAAAACAAACAACAGAAATTACAAAAACGATACAAATCTGGATAGAACAAACAATAGAAAAATACAGAGAAATCATCTAAAGCGGATAGAATACAAAGGAACTGAATGTGATGCTGCACTAGAAGAAATCAAAAAGGCAATAACTAAAGCGGTGACAGAAAAAAACATCAAAAATAAACAACTGGACACCAGGAAGAAGCAAGTGGTGGGACACAGAATGTAAAGAGACAAAACAAATTACAAAAAAAACCTAATGGATTGGAAAACAGGAAAAGACACAGGCGAAGAGTACAGAAAAAGGAATATAAAGATCATGTATCACACGCAAAAAAGAAGAATTACAAAAAGAGGAAATAAGAGAAATACAAAGCATCAAAAACGAAAATGAAGTGTGGAAATTTATAAACAAAGGGAGAAAAAATAAAGAAGGAATACCGGACTACATTGGAGAAGAAGAAGGGAAAAACTACTTTATACAAAATTTAAACGGACAGATAAGCTTCAGAGGGGAAAAAACAAAAAAGAAAGCGGACAAAGGACGATGAAGAAATAGGGGAAGAAGAAATGGAAGCAGAAATGACAAAGATGAAAAAAAGAATGCTCCCGGACCAGACCAAATAACGAATGAGATGATAGCGCCGGAAAACGTGAAACAGCAAATCGGAGAAATTATTAATACGGTATAGAGAGGTGGAGGATTTCCGGAAAGTTGGAAAGAAGGAGATATATGCCCAAAATACAAAAAAGGAAACAAAGATGACATTTTATTTTATTTTATTTTATTATCCCTCTCTTGTTTTGGGCCCTCAACAGGCATGCGCCCAATTACAGAGTGACCCGCACAATGCTATTTAGAGGTGCCTCTGCAGAAGGTCTTAAGATGGTCTATACTACTCCGGTATTTACCTTACGAATTAGGAAAACTGCAGGAAAACCTAATTCAGAGTAGCCGGTAGAATGCTCGGAACTGGTCTAAGGTAATTTCCATCTCCGCCACAGATGAAAAATTCACCTCAACCCAGGTTCGAACACCCGACCTTCGGATTTATAACCCAATGCTCTACCACTGAGCCATAAATCCGATCATCCGATCATCAAAAACTTAAGGGGAATCCCACTCCTAAACTCAACATACAAGCTTTACGCCAAAATACTAAACAACTGCTTAAATGAAGAAGTAGAGGACAAACTGGATAAAACACAAATGGGCTTTAGGAAGGGAAGAGGGACGATAGACAACATATACATAATAAATCACGCAGTACAACAAGAACTGGAAGAGAAAGGAGGTAAAGTCTACGCCCTATTCATAGATCTAAAAGCAGCATTCGATAATCTAGACAGGAACGAATTATATAAGAGTTTGGAAAAGAAAAATATCGACAGCAACACAAAAGAAAGGATTAAAGAAATCTATAGAGAAACAAAGAGTAAAGTTAAAGTCAAAGCAAACACACAGACTATTTTTGGACGGCAAAGGGAGCCAGGCAAGGATGTCCGCTAAGTGCGACCCTTTTCAACATTTATGTGGCAGACTTGGAAGAAGCATTAAGAAAATGGCAAGCAGGAGGAATGAAAATTGGAGGGCAAGAGATATGGACGACATGGTGCCCCTTACAACAAAGCAATCAGAAATTAAGGGAATGATCACACAGTTAGAAAGGTACGCAAGAAGAAAGAAATTCGCAATAAACACAGATCAAAAATAATGGTTTTTACAAAAGGAAGAAAGAAGAATAAGGACGAGACATCGTGGAAAATCGAAGGAAGAGAAATAGAAGAAGTTTCGGAATTTAAATACCTTGGGTGTGCACTAATGAAAAACGGAGTGCTCACATAAGACAAATAAAGAAAAAAGCAAATGGATTAATACCGCAGATATGGAGCATAGCAGAAAAAAAATTCAAAAACAACTATAGAATCAAGAAAATGATCTCCGATTACCTGATTAAAAGCACAGTGATGTATGGGGCAGAAATATGGGGGTGGGAGGAGATAGAGGGCATCGAGCGGATACCTAAAATGGATCCTAGGATTGGCAAAAGATACCCCAACTTACATATTTCTGGAGGAAACAAACAAAGATAAGATGAGGATAGAAGCGAGATATTGAGCAGTTAAATACGAAGAAAGGATAGGAAGAGGAGAAAACGGGTTACTAAAAGAAACTCTCAAGGAGAGATAGAAGACCAACAAAGCAAAGTGGACAGAAGGAAGAAGAAGATATTTCCAAAGGAACGGGTATGCAGAAGATGAGGCGGAAAGATTAAGGAGAGAGGGGGTAAATATACCAATGATTATGAAGGAGAGAGACAAAGACAACCAATTACAATACCAAATCAATCGAATAGAACATTGCAAGATGAATGATAAATGATAAAACAGATTAAGAAGATCACCGATGTCCTTACGACTGGATGGTCAACTATTGCCTGCACATTAGGCTTGTAGGAGAGCTCACGTGGAGATTACAGTACAGGCGACAGTTACTTGGGACCGGGGAATGGGCCATTGGCACCTAAATACGACAGCTTAATGGTAATAAATTTCAGTCTATTACAAATAATTGACCTAAATACTGACCTAGTTGTGTAACGGTGAACTATGTCGCAAAGTAGGCGGTTATCGTTTGCTCCATCAACCCTGACCAGTAAACTTTTGAGGAGTAGAAGATAACGGAATTAAATAAAAGCGGAAGATATATCTGTATAACCTAAACCGTACAGCTCCATTTACTATAAACACTATGAGAATCTTGGTGTTACTCTCAACTGGGCTAGTTCTAACATTCGCCCAAAATTCCGCTCTTCTGCAAGAGTTTATTGCCGGTAACCAACGTTTTACCGTCGAATTGTACAAGGTAAGAGCTCGACTGGTGCGACGAACCAAAATGGTTAACTTTCAGGAAGTCAGGAAGGGAACCGATGGCAACTTCTTGATAAACCCCCTCTCGCTGCAGATGATTATGTCACTGGCGCTGATAGGAGAATCGGACGAAGACTTCCGAAAGATCTTCTCGACCCTACAGCGGCCCGAGGCCACTTTGGACGAATCCAAGGAAATGTTCACCCAGATCGTTGCAAATCTGGATAAAACCGGCGATTCTACTATAGCCAGCGCAAATAAGATCTTCGTAAAAAAGGGGCTGGAAATTGGCGAAGACCTTAAGGTTTCGGCCGTTAATAATTTCAAGTCGGAAATTGAGGAAATTAATTTTCTCGCAAGATCGTCAATATCCAAGATAAATCGGTGGGTCGGCCAGAACACGTTTGACGAAGGAGTGCAGATGGTTACAGACAAAAGCTTCAGTAAGAAAACAAAGAGCGTGCTGGTAAATCTCCAATACTTCAAGGGTTACTGGCAGAAAAGCTTTCCAACGCGCGCAACCAAACCTGGACCGTTTTACGTGAGCGAAACTGTAACGAAACAGGTTGAATTAATGGAGGTCTTCACCAATTTCAAGTATGCGTACAACCACAGCTTAAGGGCCCAGTTCATCGAGATACCGCTTCGAGACTCGGACATGTTCATGACGGTGATTTTACCGGATGATAAATTTGGACTTCCACGGTTGGAGGAGAGAATCGACGAACTCTTCTATGAGCAGTTCTATTACGGACCAAAAGTTCGATTCGTACTACCGAAATTTGATATAAAAGCCACTGCCCAACTCGACGACGCATTAAGAAATGTAAGCGTACTAACAACCCTCTGTATATAATTCCAATTGGGGATTCTAGATGGGGATGGAAGGTGCGATTGGTGAAAATTCCGGAAATCCAGATGATAACAAATTTCAAGTCACCAACGTCTACCAAAAAGCCATTATCATAGTTAGCGAAGACGGCCAGATGCCACCAGCCAGACGAGGTATTTAAATAAAAGTTCCTCGAAGGTCTAGACAGTGTTCTTGCAGGAAAAATACAAGGTACGCCTCCGTGGGTACAAATTGTGGTGAATTTTGTTGCGGATCATCCATTTTTGTTTTACTTGAAATCGCCGGGAGCAGGAGTGTTCTTCATTGGACGTTATGTTTCACCTTAATTTAAGTTTAGCTTAAAGTTTAGAGAAAAAGACTTGATATGTAATGAATCACTGTGTTATGGTCCATTTATCGACCATCTGAGTGGTCGCTATAGCATTAGAAAAGTATTTCTGCGAATTTGTCAACATAGTGAAATGTACCGCTTCATAGCGAACGTGAACGGAAGTTTCGTTCTGTTCCGTTTATACAGTTTTTGACGCTTAGTTGTCACAACTGATAATAATATGTAGATAAATTCGCTTTACTGAATTTATATGGCTTCAGCTCCCCCGATGTCAAGGTGCGCCTATGTTGATAATCACGTGAGTTCAAAGTTCCTCAATCTATGCGTGGTTCGAAACACGTAATTTACGTGCGTGAGAAAATGGTTTTTGTATTTTTAAAAATACCATTGCGAAACCACAATGCATTAAATACCCCCAACTTCCATGAGGTTCAGTCTGCGCGGTCGCAATTAACTTTGGTCAAGTGTTTTTACATTTAACTCGCTGTGCTTTGCTCTTCTAAGGGGGCTTTTACTCCTATTGTTCAGCACTGGAAAGTTAGTATTACTCGACGCCTTCAAGCTTTCGCGATCTAATTGTCTTAACCGCACTCTTAGCAGACGACCTGCATGCTATTGCTACTGCTTAGTGTCTTTCCCATTTTACTTTTTATTTGGCCCTAATGCCTAAGAATATGTATACCAAATTTGGTTCCAGTCGGTTTAGCCGTTTAGCTGGAACAGACGGACCGACAGACCGACATCATCGAGATTTTGTGTGTATTTCCGTCAAAAAAGTAGGGGCCATTTTTTACCCCAATGAAATACCTCCCTTACTGACATACAGGTAGTAAAAGGAGAACTGAAAATAATGAAAACGTGAGTTCAAACAAGAATCGGAATTGGAACAACAAAAAGAAAAAACAGTAACAGTAAAGTGACAGTAGCAGTGACAGCAACCGTGACAGTGACGGTGAGGGTGACAGTGACAGGGATGACAAAAGTACCAGAGGCATAGTGAAAGGAGAACTGCAACAAGAACCAGGACGGTAACAGGAACAAGGAGGATGACAAGAATAGGAACGGAAGAAAGTTAGAATAGGAACTAACACGGAAACGGGAACTGACGGGGAAACAGGAACAAACACGGGAATGGAAACGGTATCGTGTGAATGAACAAGAACAGGAATAGGACCCGGAACCGGAACATGAACACGACCACGAACGCACACACCCACGCATACACTAACACGAACACGAACACGATCACGACTAGAACAGGAACAGGAACATAAACAGGAGCATAAGTAAGAGCTGACGCAGAAGCAAAAGCGGGACCGGGCACAGAAGTGAATATATATACAGAAAGCGGAAAGCGGAAGCGGAAGCAGAAGCAGAAGCAGAAACAGAAGCAAAAAAGGAGGCTGACTGTGTTGATAGCGGTAACGGTAGCTGTAATAATGACAGTAGCAGGAATAAGAATACAAAGAACTAGAGAAAGAGAAGTGATATGAACGGGAACAAAAACAAAAATGGTATGTTAAAGAACAACAAGTTAAAAAGTAATCGTAAACGATTTACATAAAGCGCATTTCCACTTGCATTCATTTCCCATTTATAAGATGCAACTTCTGTTAAAATCGTAAAATTCCGGCCACAAATATGAAAGATAGCGTTGCACATGGGCAATCCATTTTTGACGTGTTACTTCAATTTCAGTTTATGAGAAGAATTTCATTTCAATGCTTTTCTAAATAAGAAAGTTTGAACTGCGCATGCGCAAACCTAAATTTTTAAACTAATGTTAGATTTTCCTTTGTTCCAAGCGCCTAAGTATCAAATTTCACTTAAATGGTGCCATAGATAAAAAAGTTGGCACTGCGCATGCGCAAAAGAAAATTTTGAGACTGGCGCTCGATGATCCTTTATTCCAAGTGCCTATGTATCAAATTTCATTTAAATTCTTCCATAAATAAAATAGTTGGCATTGCGCATGCGCAAAACCAAATTTTGAAATTGGCGTTTGATTTTCCTTTATCCCAAGTGCCTATGTATCAAATTTCGTTTAAATTCTTCCATAAATACAAAAGTTGGCACTGCGCATGCGCAAAACCAAATTTTGAAATTGGCGTTTGATTTTCCTTTATTCCAAGTGCCTATGTATCAAATTTCATTCAAATACTTTTATAAGTAAAAAGTTTGCAATTCGGTTTATAAATGGTCGAGATGCGAAAAGGGCACTGTGAATTTTGAATCGATTCGATTCAACTTTTGGCATTGCGTATTATTATGGCTAAAGCTATGCCCATATTGAATTTCATGCAATTCAGTTCATAACTAACGGAGATGTAAAAGCGATCGAACATTTCTAAACAAAGTTATCGTTCACACGGGCAGATAGATGGACAGACAGACAAAGGAACAGACGGAGAGACCAACCGGCAGGCGACAGATAGCAATGCAAAATTATAAACGATCTCTAGGATCGTTAATAAACCGCAAAAGTGTAAAATTATGGAACATGTAAAAAACGGTTTTTTGTTTTTTTTACAATAACTTTTTTTGTAAGCGGTACAGAAAAAATTCCTTCCTTGGTACAAGACTCGACACCATAACGAACCCAATAGCGAAAAAAGTAGAACAATAGCTCTTAAGATAAAGAACTAGTAGCGTCGCAAAACGAGCGGACGGACGGACGGACAAAGTGGCCACAATAGCGCATTTTTTTTTATTTTTGTGGAAATGCGCTAAAAAGGCTATGAATAGTGAAAGTAACTGTAAAGGAAAGTGGATAAGGACTAGAATGCGAACTCACAGGGACTGGAAGGGGACAAGTGCCGTAACGAGAACGTTGACGGGGACGGTAACAAGTGTAACGGTAGCTCTAAGTTTCGATTAATTTTTTTCGTAATTTCGATTTTTATATTTCTAAAAGTAGAGCCATTTACGCATTGTAAATTATAGACATTCTATGGGCTGTCACAATGTAGAGGGCCCATTTTTTAAATAAATTATTTGAAAAAAATATAAAAAAATAATCTTTCAATTTCTATAGAGCATTGTTTTATTATTGGATTCCGAATTGTCTGGAGAGATGTCTGGGATTTGGATCATATTCAGTTATCTTAATTAGGTCTTTCTGATTTATTTTATTATTGTGCTAGGGGTGGGCCCAGTCGGTTCCTACGCTGAGTCCTTTTGGTCTATGGTGCCGGACGGTAATATTCTAATAAAAATGCAAAATTGGCATGTTTGAGAAATACATGGGATTTGATTTAGTGCCATTTGATTGATAAGAAGGGAATTAAAATCTACTTGTGGATTGTGATTGCGGGGGTGGTCATCGAATGAAAGGGGTGGCGCGTATGACGCACCGTTATTCCATTTATGTAGAATCAAAGTCATGAAAAATCATCATATATTATATTTTGATTAAAGTAAAGAAATTTTGATTCTGTAATTTCTTAAAGAAATCAACCTATGGGAGTTGAAGCCGTTTTGTATTACATGTACTCTACCATTTAGAAACGCACTAGAATTAGATTATTTATTTAAAGTTGGTTCATTCAAATTTCAATAAAGAAAACTTTCAATTTAGTGGGTCCATTCTGATTATTTTTTAGGTAGGAAAAATAGAAAATTGTGCCCAATATCGTTATTTGCTTTGATAGGGATCATTCACAAAGACCGTGCCCACGAATATGAAAGGCATAAACAGGAAAAGTAACGAAATGGCGACGGGAAGGAAATGGGAACTGGAAGTGAAAGTGAACTACAATAGGACGGCAACGGAAAGGGCAACAAGAAGCAGAACGGGAGCGGACAGGGACATGGGTAAGTGCAGTGGTAGCAACAAAAACAGCAAGTGGAACGATAATAGCAACGGAAACAGGGGTAGAAGCAGAAACAAGAACGGGAACAGGAACAAGAAAGAACCACACTGAAATAGCACCAGAAATCGAGTACAGGTGCAGCAGCAAGTACTTGTACTACACAGGAATGACATGAATAAGCACAATAAACAAGAACATGAACGAGAGAAGGAACGTAAATGACAGACAGAAATAGAAACGGAACGATAACCAGGATCGGTATCGGGAATCAAAATGGGAAAAGCAACATAAACAGTAATAGAGATAAACGTGGAATCAGAGACAGACGCGGAGGAAAGGAAGCAGAAACAAGAAATGAAACCAGAAGGCGAAGAGGAACAGGAAGTTTACTGCGTCTTTCGGCTTCTTTGCCTTATAGTCACACTGACATTTGCATCACCCCTGCTGAGTACCGACGATATCGTCTTCAACGAGTCCAATAACACCCTCAACATTTTAATCTAAGATGTCGATCTGAGACAATTTTTTTTTAACCAAAAATCGACTGCACCAAAATTTCTCGGGAAAACACTTATTCTTATTAATTTTGGTGCGTAGCATCCAAAACAATTCGTACTTTTTCGATCAGACTTCTCAATCAAAAGTTATAGACTAGAAACCAATTTCGAAAAAAAATTCAAAGGGCTGTAACTTTTGAACTAGTAGCCCAATCTTGGAACTGTTTGAAATTATGGATTCTACAGGCCACATTCTATAAGAAAATTTTTTTTCCGGGTCGATCTGAGACAAGTTTTTTTGCGAGCCTCAAAAAAAGGCAGTGTATAACCTTCCTTTTTTACCAAAAATCGACTACACCAAAATTTCTCGGGAAAACACTTTTTCTTCTTAATTTTGGTGCGTAGAATCCAAAACAATTCGTACTTTTTCGATCAGACCTCTCAATCAAAAGTTACAGACTAGAAACCAATTTCGAAAGAAAATTCAAAGGCTGTAACTTTTGAACTAGAAGCCCAATCTTGGAACTGTTTGAAATTATGGATTCTACAGGCCACATTCTTTAAAAAAAATTTTTCCGGGTCGACCTGAGACAATTTTTTTTTCGGGGCTCAAAAAAGGCACCTTCCTTTTTTACCAAAAATCGACTGCACCAAAATTTCTCGGGAAAACACTTTTTCTTATTAATTTTGGTGCGTAGAATCCAAAACAATTCGTACTTTTTCGATTAGACTTCTCAATCAAAAGTTATAGACTAGAAACCAATTTCGAAAAAAAATTCAAAGGGCTGTAACTTTTGAACTAGTAGCCCAATCTTGGAACTGTTCGAAATTATGGATTCTACAGGCCACATTCTACCAGAAAATTTCATTTCCGGGTCGATCTGAGACAATTTTTTTTGCGGGGCTCAAAAAAACGCAGTGTATAACCTTCCTTTTTCACCAAAAATCGACTGCACCAAAATTTCTCGGGAAAACACTTTTTCTTATTAATTTTGGTGCGTAGAATCCAAAACAATTCGTACTTTTTCGATTAGACTTCTCAATCAAAAGTTATAGACTAGAAACCAATTTCGAAAAAAAATTCAAAGGGCTGTAACTTTTGAACTAGTAGCCCAATCTTGGAACTGTTTGAAATTATGGATTCTACAGGCCACATTCTATAAGAAAATTTTTTTCCGGGTCGATCTGAGACAATTTTTTTTTCGGGGCTCAAAAAAAGGCAGTGTATAACCTTCCTTTTTTACCAAAAATCGACTGCACCAAAATTTCTCGGGAAAACACTTTTTCTTATTAATTTTGGTGCGTAGAATCCAAAACAATTCGTACTTTTTCGATCAGACTTCTCAATCAAAAGTTATAGACTAGAAACCAATTTCGAAAGAAAATTCAAAGGGCTGTAACTTTTGAACTAGTAGCCCAATCTTGGAACTGTTTGAAATTATGGATTCTACAGGCCACATTCTACCAGAAAATTTCATTTCCGGGTCGATCTGAGACAATTTTTTTTGCGGGGCTCAAAAGAACGCAGTGTATAACCTTCCTTTTTTACCAAAAATCGACTGCATCAAAATTTTTCGGGAAAACACTTTTTCTTCTTAATTTTGGTGCGTACAATCCAAAACAATTCGTACTTTTTCGATCAGACTTCTCAATCAAAAGTTATAGACTAGAAACCAATTTCGAAAGAAAATTCAAAGGGCTGTAACTTTTTAACTAGTAGCCCAATCTTGGAACTGTTTGAAATTATGGATTCTACAGGCCACATTCTATAAGAAAATTTTTTTCCGGGTCGATCTGAGACATTTTTTTTTAGGGGCTCAAAAAAAGGCAGTGTATAACCTTCCTTTTTTACCAAAAATCGACTACACCAAAATTTCTCGGGAAAACACTTTTTCTTATTAATTTTTGGTGCGTAGAATCCAAAACAATTCGTACTTTTTCGATCAGACTTCTCAATCAAAAGTTATAGACTAGAAACCAATTTCGAAAAAATATTCAAAGGGCTGTAACTTTTGAACTAGTAGCCCAATCTTGGAACTGTTTGAAATTATGGATTCTACAGGCCACATTTATAAAAAAAAATTATTTCCGGGTCGATCTGAGACAATTTTTTGATCAGACTTCTCAATCAAAGTTATAGCGGACACTTTCGGATTTTGTGAGAGATTTCGGTATTTTTAAACTGAGAGGAAATTTTCTGTAGGTACCTACGTACACTGTTTTACATCAGTTTTGGAAAAAGATTTTGGGCCTTTTTTGGAAACTTGGGTTTTTAGGTTTTCCGAACATTCTATAACACCTGGCTATAATTTTTCTATTCCCCCTAAATTCTAATCTCTCTTGACCTTAAATAACAGTGAACTATGTCGCAAAGTACCCGATTATCGTTTGCCCCATCAACCCTGACCGATAAACCGTCAAACAGTAGAAGATAAAGGAGAGAAATAAAAGCGGCGTGTAACAGAAAACTTTATACCAATTCGAAGTTATTGTACACACAATGAGAGTATTGGTGCTGCTTTCAGCTGGACTAGTTTTAACACTCGCTCAAAATTCCGCTCTTCTGGACAAGTTTATTGCCGGTAATCAGCGGTTTAGCGTAGAATTGTACAAGGTAAGAGCGTAACACGTGCAATTAGGCAAAATGACGGTCAACTTTCAGCAAGTCAAAAAGACGACAGATGGAAACTTCCTGATAAATCCCCTTTCGCTGCAGATGATCATGTCTCTTGCGCTGACGGAAGAATCAGGCGAAGACTTCCAGAAGATCTTCTCGACCCTGCAGCGGCCGGAGGCCACCCTAGAAGAATCGATGGAAATGTTCACCCAGATCGTCGCAAATCTGGATAACACCGGCGATTCTACTATAGCCAGCGCAAATAAGATCTTCGTAAAAAAGGGGCTGGAAATTGGCGAAGACCTTAAGGTTTCGGCCGTTAATAATTTCAAGTCGGAAATTGACGAATTGAATTTTCTCGCAAAATCGTCAATAGCCAAGATAAACAAGTGGGTCGCCGACAACACCTTTGACAAAGGAGTGGAGATGGTTACAGACAAAAGCTTCAGTAAGAAAACGAAGAGCGTGCTGGTAAATCTTCAATACTTCAAGGGCTACTGGCAGAAGAAATTCCCAACGCGCGCCACCAAATCTCGACCGTTTTACGTGAGCGAAACTGTAACCAAGCAGGCTGAATTAATGGAGGTCTCCACCAACTTCAAGTATGCGTATAACCACAGCTTAAGGGCCCAGTTCATCGAGCTGCCGTACCGGGACTCGGACATGTTCATGACGGTGATCCTACCGGATGATAAATATGGACTTCCAGGCTTGGAGGAGAGAATCGACGAACTCTTTTATGATCAGTTCTATTACGGACCAAAGGTCCGATTAGTACTGCCGACATTTGAACTTAAATCCACTGTTCAGCTTGACGACGCCTTAAGGAATGTAAGCGTACCAGCGGCAACCCTCTGTATATAGTTCCAATTGACCTAAATTCTAGATGGGGATGGAAGGTGCGATTGGTGAAAATTCGGGAAATCCAAATGACAACAAATTTCAAGTCACCAATGTCTACCAAAAAGCCATTATCTTAGTTGATGAAGAAGGTCAGGTCGTACCAGCGAAACGAGGTATTTGTACAGGAGTTGTATTGAGAGTCTAAAGGGTGTTGTTGCAGGGAAAATACAAGGTACGCCACCATGGGTGGAAGTTTTGGTGGATTTTATCGCGGATCATCCTTTTTTGTTTTACTTAAAATCTCCCGGAGCAGGAGTGTTCTTCATTGGGCGCTACGTTTCGCCGTAATTTAAGTTTAGAGACACTCATTTGACATGTACTTTTATGAAGCGCTGTATTATGACTTCATTTATCGCCCAAAAAATAATTCAACCAAGCCTCTGTGGTCCCTCTTCCCTTGACAAAATCATACCGGTTAGGAACAGCTTCCCATATCTTCTTTGGCAAGCTGCGAGGACTCTCAAAAACGTTCCCATATCTCTCCCTGTCTTTTTTTGGAACGAGAGTCACATCCAGACTCTTCCATGCTACCCGATACTCCTTAGGACCGTTTCGCTAGGCGTGAAGGGTTCTCGTTTTTCCACCAGTGCCACGAACTCGGTTGGAAGGTCGTCCGCCTCGGGGGCTTTCCCGGGTTCCATAGCCCTGCTTAGTCACATCGACAAGTTGCTTCTGGTTGAACTTCGCCCGGAGGAAATTGGATAAGTGAACGGAAGGAGGCCCTAAGCCGGTGGGTGGAGGACCGCCCAGGACGTACGAAACGCCGACCCCACAAAATTCACCATGAGAGCGCTGTGGGATCAGTATCTAACGCACTTACAACACCTTACCAATGTAATCAGTCTTAAGATATGGTAGACCAGAAGAGCGGACGGAGGGGGTTCCTCAAGGGTCAGTGCTGGGTCCACTATTATGGAAAATGTCCGCACTCTCGCACAGGCTTGTCCTGGTAGCAGGAGTTACCAAACTGATGATGACTGTAGGAGGAAACATCCCCAGTCCATCGTGACGATACTAGGAATGGGATCAGACACCTAGAGAGGGCTATCCATAAACCGACCAAGGCGGCTAAGGCCCTGCAAAAACTCTCGAGATAGCAAAAAGAAGGAGCTTACAGATGCAAGGAATAGGTTCAAGGCAACTATAAAGATTCCCAAATCATTTGATAGAAAGATCTGGGGATTGTGATTTAAGAAGAATTCAAGTACGTTTGACAAGGGTATTTCCGGGGGGTCTGGGGGGTATGGAATACCACTCAGCACACAGCAGGAATCGATTAATCTCACAGTTGCGGTAGAAAAAGTGTCTTCCTTTTTCTTGGGGGTATTTCTTACTCCCCAGACCTCCCGATATTTTTTAAGCATTTTAGGAGAACTTATTTTCGGGGGGAATCGGTACTGAGGGGGGGGGTATAGAATACCGTCCAACACACGGGGGGAATCGATTACCCTTACAGATGCCGTAGTAAAGGAACATTCCTTTTTCCTGGGGGGTATTCGATACCCCCAGACCCCCCAGTGCTACGTTCTCCCCTAGTAAGTTCACCCATTAGATCCTCGTGTATGGAATATCTAAAAAAAGGGAAGTTTTATGGCACTTCCTAGCAAATTCTCATAAGGTTACCTATTTTTTAAGCATTTTTGGATAACATTTTTCCGAGGGGTCAGTATAGAATACCCCCCTGCACACGGGGAGAATCGATTACCCTTGCAGATGCTGTAGAAAAGGAACCTTCCTTTTTCCTGGGGGGTATTCGATACCCCCCTCCCAGACCCTCCGGTGCTACGTTCTTTCCAACTAAGTTCAGCCATTAGATCGTCGTATATGGAATATCTCAAAAAAAGAAAGTTTGATGGCACTTCCCAGTAAATTGTCATAAGCTTGCCCATTTTTTAAGCATTTTGGAAAAACGTATTTCCAGAGGGTTTGGGGAGTGTGGAATTCCCTCCAGCACACAGCGGGAATCGAAAATCGAGAGGAGGAATCGAGACTGTGCTGGAGATTTGCCTGTAGGAAGACGATTTTGTTGCCTCTGATGTTTCCCCGGCTAGGCACATCGGCTCCCTGGGCGGACGACGGCCGTTCGCCAGTTGGTTGAACCTGCGCCTTCGGTGGATTGTTTCGTTTGACCTTCTTCATTTGGCTACTGGTGCTGGCCTCACTGGGCTTTGGGTGCATGGCGCTTTTCTGGCTGCTTTCTCTTGGAAGTGGCGCGACTTACTCATTTAGGCTTGATTTCCACTTGCCCAAACCTAAAGCTGGGCCTGTGATAATCCACCCTTATGGTTAGGCAACACACCATTACATCTGAAGCAAAAATATGATATGCTCTGTATATAACCAATCGACCATTTTGCGCAGATGCCGAATACTAGGGGATTTTCGTAACGAAGTTGGCGACGAGGTCGACGGAAGGCATCACGCTGATTTTTATCATACAATTTGAGATGTTTTATTTATGTGTATTTTCTCTTGCATTTTATTGCCCGGGTTTTTGTCCCGTAGAAGGTTTCACTGGCATGGTCTTGTTGTGTGCGTAATATATTTATTACTGTTCTTGTCATTTCTTACGCAGTTCTGTCTTTTATTTAATTCCCTTCCCGATTACGTCTCACGCCCCAACACATACAAGAACCGACTACACACCGTAGGATTTCATTCGTGCCATCCCTATCGAGCCGACCGCCATCCGAATTCAAAAATGCCGCGAAACGTCCATCGTTTCGACTTGAAAGGTAGGTGGCTCTGCTTGTAGATTTTTTTTGCCAGAGTTGCCAACGGTAAGTGTAGGGTAAGTCAATATTTCCAGTACCGCCTGAGGAACATTGCAGCCCTTAGGCTTTTCTGCTCCAGGCACCTTAGCGAGCGTTGGTCCACTGTCATGGTTAGACGAACAAGGGGGCCCTCTTGCTCTTTCTTGAGCACTCGCCATTCCTTGTAGTGTTGAAGCTTTCAAAAAACCAAGGATACGCTCCGGGCTCTCGTTGGTGGTGTCCGGGAAGTTGGCGTTCACAATAGTCGCCTTTGGAATTTCACTTGGACGTCTCCCTACGTGCCTGCTTCCTTGTCTGGGGAGCCTTGTGTGTGGTATCGTGGGACCGAAACCTTTTTTTCCCTTTGTCCAAGTTACCTTGTTCTCTCGGCGGTACATGCGGGCGGACGGCTTACTTGGCTGCTTAAGCCGCTTCTGCACTGTGTTGCCTCAGCGCCTCAGCCAACGGTACCGTTTCCTTGCAGCACCGGAAGCCTGACTTTCAGCTGGCTATAGGTTTTCGGTCCAGAAAAAAATACCGGTTTCGGTCCGGTTTTCGGTTCTTTTTCGCTCCGGTCCGGGTCCCTGCCTCCGAATCATCCATCCCGTCGACGTAAGTTGTTCCACTTTGGGCTTAGATTTTTTAGCGCAACACAATGAAGTTAAAGAAACGCTTATTTGCTCGATTTTCCGTCGTCTGTCTGTGTGTTCCATCGAGATCTCGGCCCCTGGGTTACCTAGAGACTTCGGGTTTTCGCTTGAAACATTTTTTCGTAATGGGGTTGGTTGACTGCTCTTGATCGTCGCCCCCCCCCCCCCTCCTACATCCTCAGTTCCGTGAGACATGACCACAAACGACCTTTCTCATTCATGGTTTTCCGTCATGGCTGATCTGAAGTAAGTAGATCAGTAACAGAACCGCACAGTTCTCTGGTGCATAGTCATTGGCCACGGCCCGACAGCCCGCGACGCGTATTGTATGCCTCTAACAGCTCTACCTGCGAGCATCCCATTTCCGCATTAACCCCGTGTCTCATACGATCATTCACAGGGCCGTTCCCCTATCCGGCACCTCGGGATCGCTCTCCACATACAAGATGGGTACCGGGCCGGTAAGATTCAAGGAATTCAGGGACCGATTAAAGAACGATTTGGGAAACATCTTCCTCCGAAGCTGTAGTGTTGAAGAACCCCACGTAGTTACAGAAATTGAACAAACCAAGGAAGCAAAAAAAAGAGATAGAAGATCCGTCTTTGCAGAGCAAATATCGAGCAAGTCTGGGCAAGTCTTGTAAAACTACGGGTTCGAAACAGTGATGAACGTCGATAGATGTCCATGAACCTAGCAGAGCAAGGTTAGCAGAACACAATCAAACATATTGCATAATTAGGTGCTAATTAGGTGCTAATTAAGTGCCCTATTCCTGAATTAACGGCTCCTTTTTTTAATATTACATGTTCTGCGAGGTGCATATGAATTCATCATCATTCCTTAAAAACCCAAGAAAATGAAAAGTGATCTAATTATAATTAGGTGCTAATTAAGTGCTCTATTTCCGAATTAAATTGAAATTAAAAATGACTGGGAATTAAAAAGCTATTTAAGCAAAATATACTAAAGATATTATTAAAAACTTAATTCTTGAATATTGTCTTAAGATCAAAATGAAATTAAAAATTATTAGTAACTGCGACATACATTGTGTATGGGGCTCATTTGAAAGGGCTTGGTCCAAGGATCCCGTGCGTACCCAATTTTGTGGTTTTGCGCATGCGCAGTGTCAAAAATTTCGTTTAACGCATGTGCGATGCTAACTTTTTTATATATGAAGATATTTAAATGACACTATGACACTACGAACATAAGCAAAACTGACAACGTTTTAAAAATATTGTTTTGCACATGCGCAATGCCATGATATAAATAAAACAGCGCAATGCCAACTTTCTGATTTACGAAAGCATTTAAATGAAATTTAGTATGCCTGCAGGCACTTGGAATATAAAAGTACATTATTATCGGATTCAAAATTTCTTTTTTGTACTCCGTGGACTAAATGAACGTGTTTTGTCATTCGTTGAAGGGTCTAAAGTGTCACTTTTTCTCCCAGAAGGATTGAAATGCAATGAGGGGCGAAAAGTGACAGTATACAACATTTTTTGAATTTGGGAGGCAGTAATTTCCTCATAACGTTCAGTTTATATGAACCTGGCAGAACATGTCATAATTTAAAAAAATGCATTTAATTCGGGAATAGGATACTTAATTATCACCTAATTAGCACCTAATTATAGTTAGTTCACTTTTTATTTTCTTGGTTTTTTGAGGTAGTGTTCTGACGAGTTCATATGAACCTGGCAAAAAATGTAATAATTTAAAAAAAAAGAGCATTGAATTGGGGAATAGGGCACTTAATTAGCACCTAATTAGCACCTAATTATGCAATATTTTGATTGTGTTCTGCTGACCTTGCTCTGCTAGGTTCATGGACATCGTCGATAGAGCCGAGAACGTTGACGAAGCGAGGAAGGTGAAAAATTGCCGCTATCAATGCCAAAAACCGAAGAAACCTACGGGAGGGATCGAAGAGCTCAAAAAAGTCTAAGACAACAAAAGAAGCAACTAAAGAAGACGAAGAATCGGAAAACGCGAAAGAAATGAAAAAGGAGAGAGAATGATGTCCAAGAAGAAGTTGATGAAGGCAAGGAAACCGGGTCGGCCGAAGCTAGAACGAATTCCGGGCTTTCCAATAATAGGGCATTCTGAAAACGTTCACCATTTACTTTGCAGAAACAGAGGAATCCGCAAACGTGTTTTGAGTAGCAAGAACGAATTCGTCCAAAATTTGGTATATTTGTTGAGGTAGGCCTAAATGTTGTAGTACCTATCTTTTAACGAAAAGTAGGCTGCGATTGTTATTTTAGATACTATCGAAAAAGGCAACATTGCAAAATGTCATTACTCTGCGTCCTTGACTACAATCTTAAGTGCATTGCTCCGCTGCGATATATTTGTCAACAGACTTTGCTGATAATTCGCGCGTTAACAGGAAAATGACGACCGGTTGTGAACATTACAAACGATTTTGCAAAATTCTGGTAAGTAAATATTGTCACTTTTAAATTTTCGATTTTTTTTTCTACAGACGCCTTGTTGCACCAAGCCCTATTCCTGTCACATTTGCCATGATGACAAAGAGAATCACTCATTAAATCGACATCTGATCCAGGAATTAATCTGCGACGTATGTAATCACGTCCAGGACCCCAAAAGTAAATGCGATAACTGTGGAACGGTATTTGGCATTGTATGGCGGTTTTTTTGGCTTCACATGTATTGAACTCCTCTTTGCAGTACTCCTGTCTCTATTGCTTCGTGTTTGACAATGATCTTAAAGGGCAATTTCACTGCTTCGAATGCGGCCTGTGCAGAGTTGGAGGGGAAGCCAACTACTTTCACTGCAAAATGTGTAATATGTGCTTTGCACTTCGATTGAGGGCTAATCACAAGGTAGGTACAACTCTCATCACCAGTGAGCCAATTGTTGTTCACTGATTTTGGCTTCAGTGTTTTCATCTTTCTATTGTTGCAGTGCGTTGAAAATTGTGCTGGAGGAAACTGTCCATTATGCGGAGAGGGGTTGCATTCGTCCCGTAAAGAGCTACACGTACCAACATGTGGTCATCTTTTACACACTGAATGTCACAACACTTTGGTCTCTAATAATTATAAGAAATGTACTATATGTAACCTTAAGACAAACTAAGTCGATTTAAGTTTATGCATTATATTCACTAAAGCGAATATTTCAAATAAACAGCAGTGCCTAAGCTGCAAAACGTAGTCTTCTAAACAAGCTCAAAATTTAAATTCTGCAGGGCAGTATCCTACCCCTTGGATAGGTATCTGGTCCCTCGTGCGGAGTATGCCAGACTGGCCCGGTGACATTGTAAAGTTTTGTTTATTGCCACTGAATATATGTCAGGACTTTTCACCAGTTCCCGAATCCAGGACCGTCTGCCACTCATTCTTTCTGTCACAGAAGCGGGGCCTCCTTTAGAATCGGGCCGTTACCAGATTTCTTATCGGCGAGGTGCCATTTTTTTTGTGTTTTGTGAGGATAAATTATCTTGCCGATAACCCCTAAGAGTGAGTGGCCGAACGAAATCACTTACCTGGACGTCAAAATAGACAAGCGGAGCAACACCGTCCTCGACGGGATAGAGGCGAACTGCTCCAGCAAGAAAGACACCTGAAACGTCCAAGAAGAATGCTGTAGTTCCCATAGATAAATAAGCAAGCAACAACAGTAAAAGTCAATAAAGGCTAAGTCCGTCAGGGTACAATACTCGGCCCACATCTCGATGCTACAATTCATTCTGCAGCGAGCTGTTCTATAGTAAGCAATAGAATCAAGCTGAGCTGCAACATGGTGAGGCATTACAACGACGAAGCCCTTTCGACATTCAACAGCCGCTGGAACGACGCACGTTGATGTTTTTGGAAGAAAGATGGCGTGACCTCACTTTTACTGTGCACAATTTGAAATACTTTGTGGATTTTCATTTGCTTTTGTTATCTTTGCCAATTTAGTTAGGGTATTTGTGTAGGCTATGCTAGGGTTTTTGTCCCGAAGAAGGTTTCCCCTGTGTCTAATATATTTTATATGTTCTCGTCTTTTCTTTCGCACAAAATTATGAGTTTCTATTCGCTTTCCTTTCCCATTTGTGTGTAAAAAGAACAGCCAGTTTTAATACCGACTGCTACCCAAATTCGAAAGTAGTGCGTACAAATAATAACGACCACTTGTTACAAATAACTACCGAAACATTTTTGTAATCATAGGTTAATAAAAGTTGTCGATGTAATGGATAGCCTACCCCCAATGCAGCACTGTCTGTATGGGTGCCTACATACATATTCTCTTCCATTGCTATGTAAACAGAGCTGGGCAGAATACTTTCGAAAAGTATTTGAATACTAAATAGTAAATACTTTACACAAATCAAAGGTATTTGAATACTAAATACTTTCACGTCCAGCACAAGCGAATACTAGATACAGATACATCGAAAAGTATTCAAATACTTTAAAAAATAAGCATTCAAATACTTTAGAATGTATTCGAATACTTTCAAAATTTGTCTCAGATCGATCCGGAAAAAAAATTTCTTATAGAATGTGGCCTGCAGAATCCATAATTTCAAACAGTTCCAAAATTGGGCTACTAGTTCAAAAGTTACAGCCCTTTGAATTATTTTTCGAAATTGGTTTCTAGTCTATAACATTTGATTGAGAAGTCTGATCGAGAAAGTACGAATTGTTTTGGATTCTACGCACCAAAATTAATAAGAAAAAGTGTTTTCCCGAGAAATTTTGGTGCAGTCGATTTTTGGTAAAAAAGGAAGGTTATACACTGCCTTTTTTTGAGCCCCGCAAAAAAAAATTGTCTCAGATCGACCCGGAAAAAAAATTTTCTTATAGAATGTGGCCTGTAGAATCCATAATTTCAAACAGTTCCAAGATTGGGCTACTAGTTCAAAAGTTACAGCCCTTTGAATTTTCTTTCGAAATTGGTTTCTAGTCTATAACTTTTGATTGAGAAGTCTGATCGAAAAAGTACGAATTGATTTGGATTCTACGAACCCAAATTAATAAGAAAAAGTGTTTTCCCGAGAAATTTTGGTGTAGTCGATTTTTGGTAAAAAAGGAAGGTTATACACTGCCTTTTTTTGAGCCCGAAAAAAAAATTGTCTCAGATCGACCCGGAAAAAAAATTTTCTTATAGAATGTGGCCTGTAGAATCCATAATTTCAAACAGTTCCAAGATTGGGCTACTAGTTCAAAAGTTACAGCCCTTTGAATTTTTTTCGAAATTGGTTTCTAGTCTATAACTTTTGATTGAGAAGTCTGATCGAAAAAGTACGAATTGTTTTGGATTCTACGCACCCAAATTAATAAGAAAAAGTGTTTTCCCGAGAAATTTTGGTGTAGTCGATTTTTGGTAAAAAAGGAAAGGTTATACACTGCCTTTTTTTGAGCCCCGAAAAAAAAATTGTCTCAGATCGTCCGGAAAAAAACATTTTCTTATAGAATGTGGCCTGTAGAATCCATAATTTCAAACAGTTCCAAGATTGGGCTACTAGTTCAAAAGTTACAGCCCTTTGAATTTTCTTTCGAAATTGGTTTAGTCTATAACTTTTGATTGAGAAGTCTGATCGAAAAAGTACGAATTGTTTTGGATTCTACGCACCAAAATTAATAAGAAAAAGTGTTATCCCGAGAAATTTTGGTGCAGTCGATTTTTGGTAAAAAAGGAAGGTTATACACTGCCTTTTTTTGGGCCTCGAAAAAAAAATTGTCNACTAAATATTTGTGAAAGTATTTGAGTTACAAATACAAATACTGCTTCCATAAAAGTATTTAATTACAAAGTATTTGAATACTAAAAAGTATTTACAAAATCGAATACTGCCCAGCTCTGTATGTAAACATACTTAGTGATGACGTCATAATACACCGATGACGTGCGCGCTAAGGAACAACCCAATCCGTTATATACATATGCCCATTACGTAAGAAAACAGTATAGATAAGCTCTTTGCTTGTTATTGAGCATTTGGCCCCCCACAAAAATTGGTTGCAGGTGCCACTAAAATAGACCATAGCTCAAGAGTTTTTTATTTCGCATTTAAGGATTATCTTAACAATATAGTGCAGACTGACTAGTACACTAGCACCGACCTAAGCCTATACCTACCTAGACAATTAACTCAAATAAAACTTTCAAAAATATCAACCAGCCGACGTATTTCCTTTCTGTAATAAATGTTAAGGATCTCTGCTCTTGTAAAGCATATTCGAATGAAGGATACATTCGTACAGAGTGGTTCTGGACCGTTTTCATAGCTTGCGTGACCTCCTCGGCCTTCGCCATCATCGTATACATACTCTGAGGAAACAATATAAACCCCGGGGCCACCACCAGCATGCTCAACTGACCTTAATATTAGCGTCCATCGTATCCGACATCTTTGACACCGCATCCTTGTAAACGTCCACATTATCGGCGGTAATCGACGAAATCTGAAAAGATCGATTAGCGGGCCCCCTCGCGTGCGATTACGTACGGAGTGAAGAATGCCGCATAAATTTTCGGTGAGATTATCTATGGAGGTGGCCATGCGTTGGGCTTCCGATTCAAGGTCGTTTAATAATCCCGTGTCGAATAGACCCATCTGCGGTACCAACAACTGTCGAAACAGCGTGTTCGGGGTGGCAATCTTCGAATTGCCAGGAAGAGGAGGTGTATCGCCCTTCTTATTAACGGGGCTCGATAGCTTAATCTTATACTCTAAATCTTCGGTTACGAAATGCGTCATGTTCCCCTCGACGTGCACGGTGCCCTCCAAGTTTAACGGGTGAAAGTGGCCGGGATAATTATTACGTTCGCACGGTAGCGTCTTCGGCCGCTTTAACATTTCGTCGGCAGAAGGTAGGGGGTCGATACTTAAAGATAACGATAGCTCGTTATCGTCGGGGCTTAATTCCGATTTGAATGAGATCTCGCTGTAGGACGCGGTCATTTGTTGGGATATCTCATCGTCGCCCTCAATTTCTGGATCCTCGAAGTGGTCGAGCTTCGTCGGTAGTGAACTCACTTTGGGGGGTCTCTGCAAAATGAACCAAAACAGTGCACAGGTGTGAAAGCAAATAAGACCTACTGCCGGAAGCGGTGGTGGAAGACTTGGCGGAGGATCCTTCGGAGGTCCCGGTGGAGACGATAATGAATTATCGTCAGAATCCATCATAAATTTGCTTTAATTTCCACTAATCAATAACAAAAGGAACAGTGAACTTGTAGAGCATCTGAACTACGATTTTATTGGTTATAATTCATCAGAACTACTATATTGTACGAATCCGATTAGTTGAACTACTAACTTGCATTTAGTCTACCAAAACCAGTAGCGCCGACCCGAAAAAATTATTAAACCTTTAATTTTACATAGATCTAATAACGGCACCTCATACGACACTGTCCTTTCGCAGGTACTGACGATGTTGATACAAAAAATAGGTCGGAGGCTGAATTTTCCGATGAAGCAAACGTCTGGGGGTAGTTTTTTTGAACGGTTAATCCTTGTGTTTATCTCTCAAGCAGCTTTCCTAAGTGACTACTTAGGGAGATCGGTTTTACCGACCCCGGTGGTCAAAACCTTATCAAAGACGCTATAGGGAACCACTTCGGTCTCTTATTGTCACCATCGAGACAAGTTCAGGTGGAATCCGATCAGGTTCCTGAGCCTTTGTCCTTGGGCATCCTTTTATTAATCCCTTCTCTAGTCTCATCTGGGGTCGTTTCATCCTGTTGTTCAGTTCAGCCTTTCGTGAACGTGTCCTTTTCACGTAACGAGAGCAGATTATTTCTTCACCTGTTCCAAGTACACTTCTGCTTCCGCACATATACCTTTCCAGTACTCTTTTTTCTTACTTTTTTATTATCTTGTCTTCGTTTCACCAGTAGGTAGCTCTTCTGAAATCGATGGAACAAAACGGTACGGCTTTTTTGTATGGAAATTATCTGGCAATGAGCTTTCTTTTTATATCGACTGCTCTCCACATCGCGAGGGTAAAAAATGTTCCATTTGAAGGGAAGAACAGTAAATGGTTTACGTACGCAACTCGTGTACTTACGTAAAACAAAATTACGATAATCAAACAAGACGCAATTCGTTGCTATTCTTCACTGTCACACGATGAGCAACTCAAAAAAACAGGATAATGGAGTTAGGTACCTATGGCTTTTGTTGTTACTTTATTGTTACGCAATAACCGTTTATTGCTTTGTACGATTCTGTCATGATAAATTTGAAAGCGTTACCTTCACACCACAAATGCTTGTCGCCGATTACTTTTTTCTATCGACTAATTTTACTTTAAATTCGCGAATCATAAAATATTCGGAAGTCTTAAGTTCTGTCGTTTCGTCCAGATGATCCCTTTGCTAATCGTATTTCTGCAAGCATTCAGCATTCTAAATGGTGAGGTACTGCGTTCTGGCATCGTAAAAGGGACCAAGGCTGTGGCGCGCCAGTTTCCTTACCAAATTTCGCTCAGGCATAATGGCGCGCACACTTGCGGCGGAGCGATTGTAAATATGTATACTGCCTTAACGGCAGCTCACTGCGTTGCGTATGTTTGTCAGTTAACTGCTGGGGTCCTATTCTTGACCCTACGTATTTATCAAGGTTGTTCGTTTTTTGAACCAAAACGATGAACTTTGGTCGAATGGTATTCTTGACCGTTCGAAAATATTTCGAATTCGTAATTGTCACTCGTTTTTACAACGAGCGGTATAAACCAGTCGAATTTATGACATGTGCCATTTTTTTTACTTTGACGTAACTTGTTCACCGTATTCAGAATGTGTTTAAAAATCTATTTGAGGAACTGAGTGATGACATGTTTCATTTAACGAAACAACACATCGAGAGATTTGTCTTAAGACATGCACATTGCACGTGCGTTAACGAATTACGCCTGCAACAAAGTCCATCTGTAGCTGAACCTCTCACATGCACGTCTTAAGACAAGTCTCTCGGTCTGTCTGGCCTTACAGCTACATACACATAGTCATTCTTGTGAAGGTTTTGGCAAGGGTTTTGGTTGCTGTACGATTTTTTGGAATCGGCAGTTACCAAATTAGATGTTACAAGTTCCACGTTATTTAGCTGTTTCCCAACCATTGAACTCTAAAAACACACTCGAGTTCACTGTTTTCAACCCACTGTTAAGGGCCCCACAGACTTCCGACTTGTTCGTCTGATTTGCACGACCTGTAAATCGAACAAACACGAGGTGTGTGGAGTCTGTCATACTTGTTCGATATAGGTGCCATACCATCCGATGTACACGTCGTGCAAATCGGACGAAGAAGTCGGAAGTCTGTGGGGCCCATAAGCACTTTTTGTAATTTGCTCAGTTATGAGAAAGCAGTTGTGTATACAAACTGTTGTCAAGGAAACCTTTCGTATGAAGGTATTTACTACTACCAAATTCTACGTTGCCAAACATATCATTCGAATTGAAATTACAAGCGTTACGAAGGGTACACATGAATAGCAAATGATAGTCGTATGCGAATTTGCATACATCGTTTTAAAACGAATACGAACCAATTCGAGTGAGTTCAAGAATAGCGCCCCTGTTCTTTGAGTAATTTTTTTTAATAGGGACCGTAATCCAATGCGTTATGCGATCGTGGCAGGAGTCACACATTTAGCAGAGAGGGGGATCGTTCACCAAGTGGCGAGAATTATACTATCGGACGAGATTAAGGACGATAACATATTCGATTTAGCAATTCTGAAGGTAGCAAAACCGTTTATATTCAATAAGTTAGTAGCCCCTATACCGCTGGATATGAACGGAACCGGAGGGGGTGTGACCTGCATTGCCAGCGGTTGGGGTATCACTCGTCAAAATGGATCGGTGAGTCACGATTTGCTGTTCACCGATGTGAAGACCATTACCAATGAGGAATGTGTCAAGCTGCAACCGTACCCAAGTCGGCGCATATACAAGTCTCATTTATGTACCAGCACTGCACAAGGAAAGGGAGTTTGTGAGGGTGATTCTGGAGGCCCTCTTGCCTGTGACGGTGTACTTTCCGGGCTTACTTCATGGGGATGGCCCTGCGCCCGCGGTCCTCCTGATTGTTTTTTTAGGATATCGTTATTCATTGAGTATATAAAGTTTTACATGGACCAGTGATGAAAAATCATTGTTTCAATGATATTGTCGTATTGTATCAATTAAAACTACAATGGTACGCTCTTTTTGAAAACCTTGGGGTTTAAAACTGCACAATCTAGTGTTTTGAATTGCGTGAGAAGGTGATTAACGACCATAAAAAATCTCTGGGATTGGATTAACCAATAAATAATTAGGCAGCGCCATCTTGCAACATAATCCGCCATTATAGGCGTTGAAAGAATTACGAAATAACTAAGTGAGGGTCAGTCGGATTTCAGAGCTCTCAGATCTCATTTTCTAGTGCCAAACACGCCTCTGCAAATTAAAGTTAGCTATCAATCTTCTCCCACATGTTGAATTCGCGACGTTGCAACTTGTATGCACAAGATTTAAGCCGTGCTTACTAAGAAAAGTACCTCAATTCTACCCATTACGAAGATAATGTTCAGACTCCAAGTCGAGAACTGTCTTCCTGGAGTGATTAAGGACACAATGGCTCTTTGAGAACCACGACGAAAAAATTAACACAAACGCGCCGCACCACAGAATTTAATTTTTCCCGTCTGCGAAATTCAGTATACGAGGCCTGCAAGAAATACGCAGATTGACGTCTGGGCCACTTTTGGAAACAGTCTCGAAACGCTTCTTTTGTGATGTAATTGAGCCCCTTCGTCGCATTTGTCGTAATCTCGGGAATCGTATCAAATCGCCTTCCTTTCAGAGGTCTTTTGAGTTGGATTTACCCGAACCAAGGTATTGATTTTGCGACGTGTGAGTCCTGCAAGGCGCTCATCGTCTTTAATCGATTAACGACCATCTCTGAAACGCCCATGACACTTAAGACACATCGCACGCTTAGCAACATCGCCGTAACCCGTCTTGAGAATATCAAAAGTTTCACTCGCAGATTTTCCGAGTTTAGCCACTTGACCGTACACTTTTTAAGCCGATTTTTTCTTGCAGCCACGGACGAAATTTACATTTTCACAGTCGCTACCATTGCTTCTGTGTGCTTCTCTATGCGTAGAAAAACCGAAACGGACCCAGCACAGATTTTGCGGCAACGTCCTTTTTAAACCAATAGCAGACCAGCATTTTTTGTTTACCCTGCAAAAACGGAATCGCGTTCTAGATGCGCGCTAATAACCTGACTCGCGCTTACTACGAAGCGGCACTTATTCCGATTTAACCACACAGTGCTATTTATTAAGACGTAGACGTAGGATTTTTTCCTATGTTAGTTTCAAATGCCAAATCTCTTCTGAAGGGCCCCTAATTTTATGCAACCAAAATAACTTTTTAAAACAAAGATCTGGCTGTCATATTAATTAATTTGAATATTGTTTTGGCTTCCGTATTTTTATTCTCATTTGTATTCAACTGAAGAAAACGTTGATATTGTCAATTGGTATAGTGCCGGTAACAGTTTAAGAAGCGTAAGAGATTTATTTTCTGTCAAGCCAAAGCAACAATATTCACACTAATTAATATGACAGCCAGATCTTTATTTATTTTAAGAAGTTATTTTGGTTGCATTAAATGAGGCGCCCTTCAGAAGCGATTTTGTCATTTAAAAGTAGACATAGGGAAAAACAATACACGTAAATCCCTATGTCTACTTCTTAATAAATAGCACTGTATAATATGGATTCGAAAAAACATTTAAATTTCAAATCGGGGCTTCCGTTACGGATTCGACCCTACGTCCCATTCCGTACAAGAACCTGACTGCATCTGTTAGGATTCTGAGAGGGTGGAAGAGTCTCTTGGACTCAGTGAAACGACCACTCCGATGAGTCAGAGTGACACTGGAACTAAGGAAAATGCTGCAAAAAGGGAGGGAGGATGCTCTGCTGCAGATCACCAAGCCCCAACACATCAAACCACGAAAGCGCACCTCCTGAGGCTAGCCCAATGTCTCAACATCGACCTCCAAACCAGCCTCCTCCCGTGATCCAACCCGAACCCAGAGCCAGGCTCCTAGCGCTAACTCCGGTCAGGCCCGCAACCGAGTAGGCGAAGAAAAAAAGGGACAGAATTTCGATGACTCAACGCCGATTCAACCGGCGACAAAAAAAGGGTAGACCACAGCCTCAAACCAAAGGTGGGTGTCAGTAAGGCTGAAGCACGACCTGGAGGTGGCGCCTGAAGGCACAGATTTCCTGGGCAAAGGTGGGCGGCTGGTGTCTCTTCTACAGAGCAGCAAAGGATCAACCAGACTGATGGTTTTAGGCATTGACCCAAAGTCAGGGAAGCTCTAAAGAGGTACAACAAAATGTAAGAGCAGCGTCTCCGGGCCCGGCACAGGAAGACTCGGCTCTGCGCAATTCGGCACCGGACTACTCGGCTTCGGGTCAAGTCGGCTCTGAGACAACTCGGCTCCGGGACTACTGGGCTTCGGGATTACTCAGCTCTGGGACTACTCGGCTTTGGGATAACTCGGCTCTGGGACTACTCGGCTCTGGGATAACTCGGCTCTGGGATAACTCGGCTCTGAAAAAAACCCTCCATTCGTATGGCTTCTTTATGCACATACAAATTTCAACTTTACGAATTGTTTTATCACCAAGAACTAATTCATATTTTTCGTCTTAGTATCAATACATGCATACCGGGTGAGGCGAGAGGAATGGGAATCGTTGTAAGGGTGTATTAGAAATAATAGTAATAATAATAATTATTATTAACCGGCTCTGTAGCTCAGCGGTAGGGCGTTGGGCTATAAAGCCGGGGGTCGGATGTTCGAACCTGGGATGAGGTAATTTTTCATCTGTGGCAGAGATGGAGAGTTTCGTTATATCAGTTTCGAGCATTCTGCCGGCTACTCCGAGTTAGGTTTTCCCGCATTTTCCCTAATTCGTAAGGGAAATACCGGAAAACGAGCATTTCTGTCTCGTGTAACGCCGCGCCTGGCGGTAGTCTCAGATCAAAGTAGTCCCGGAGCCCAGTTATCCCAGAGGCAAATAGTCCTGAAACAGAGTTATACCAGAGCCGAGTAATCCCGTAGCCGAGTTATCCCAGAGCCGAATAGCCCTAAAGCCGGGTTATGGCAGAGCCGAGTAGTCCTGGAGCCGAGTAATCCCGGGGCCGAGTAATCCCAGAGCCGAGTAGTCCTGAAGCCGAGTTATAGCAGGGCCGAGTCGTCCTAAAGCCGAGTATTCCGGTGCTGAGTAGTCCGGTACCGAGTTGCGTGGAACCGAGTCGTCCGTGTCCGCTCCAGGCTCTTTTGCTTAAATGGGTTAAACGTGACTGATCCGGTCGATACTGTTCGGTTCTAGATCTATGTTTGCTACTCGGGCTTCTATTTCTTGAATTTATTGGAAAAATTCTTCTCGTAGATTTTTTGGACTTCTTTTAGACTCCTCTCGAGTTGGCCAATCTGTTCCAAAAACATTCTGGAAGGAGTTTATTAGAAAACGAACAAATTTTCTTAATGGCCACACTGTCAATTGATCGTTACAATAAAACTTACTCTCTTAGAACCCACTAAGCCCCCCAATGCCTCAGCAAAATTGCGACGTTTGTCCTGTGACTCCCCAGTAATTTTCCCATGCCATTAATCCGTCAAGACTCACAGAAATAAAAAAGCGCCTAATTAATTTTAAAATGATTGACTAACCAAATCTTGAAGTACCAGCTATCTAATAGAAACATGGATCTACCCAGAAACTTAACAAAATCACCCCCCTTAAAGGGCCCCCGTTACATAACAAAACGGATCTGATTCAGCTGGACGGTGACGTACATCCCATTAATCTTGTCTTATTGCGCGACAAACTGGCCCTTATAATTTTGTCAACCAACACCATCCGCCCAGACATTTATACAAAAGTTTTTGTTTAGTGAGCGATTCCACTCACTGAGACTATGATCTAGTTGTCAAGGGTTCACTCTGTACAGAAGTGTTGTCTATGGGTGGCGCTTTTTGTTGTTACAACATCGCGAGGGTAAAAAAAAGTTTCAGTTGAGGGGAAGAACAGTAAAGCGTTTATGTACGCAACTCGTGTACCTAAAATAAAATGACGTCAATCGCAGTTTGTTGCCATTCTTCACTGTCATACGATGACGATGAGCAATGCAAAAAATGGCTATTGTTGTTACTTTATTGTTACGCAATAAACGTTTATTGCTTTGTAGGATTCTGTCATGATAAATTTGAAAGTGTTACCTTCACACCACAAATGCCATTTTTTTCCTCGTCGCCAATTATTTTTTCTATCGATTAATTTTACTTTAAATTCGCGAATCATACACATTTAGAAGTCTTAAGTTCTGTCGTCTCGTCGAGATGATCGCTTTGCTAATCGTATTTCTGCAAGCATTCAGCATCCTAAATGGTGAGGTACTGCGTTCTGGCATCGTAAAAGGGACCAAGGCTGTGGCGCGCCAGTTTCCGTACCAAATTTCGCTCAGGCATAATGGCGCGCACACTTGCGGCGGAGCGATTGTAAATCTGAATACTGCCTTAACGGCAGCTCACTGTGTTGCGTATGTGTGTCGGTTAACTGCTGTTCTTTGACTAGTTTTTTTTTTTAATAGGGACCGTAATCCAACCCGTTATGCGATCGTGGCAGGAATCACACATTTAGCAGAGAGGGGGATCGTGCACCAAGTGGCGAGAATTATACTGTCGGACGAGATTAAGGACCATGCCATATTCGATTTAGCAATTCTGAAAGTAGCAAAACCGTTTGTATTCAATAAGTTAGTGGCCCCTATACCGCTGGACATGAACGGAACCGGAGAGGGTGTGACCTGCATTGCCAGCGGTTGGGGTATCACTCGTCAAAATGGATCGGTGAGTCAAGATTTGCTGTTCACCGATGTGAATACCATTACCAATGAGGAATGTGTCAAGCTGCAACCGTACCCAAGTCGGCGCATATACAAGTCTCATTTATGTACCAGCACTGCAGAAGGAAAGGGAGTTTGTCAGGGTGACTCTGGAGGCCCTCTTGCTTGTGGCGGTGTACTTTGCGGGCTTACTTCATGGGGATGGCCCTGCGCCCGCGGTCCTCCTGATTGTTTTTTTAGGATATCGTTGTTCATTGAATACATAAAGTTTTACATGGACCAGTGATCGATAATCGACCAAACACATTGTTTCAAATGATATTGTCGTATTGTATAAATTAAAACTGCAATGGTACGCTCTTTTTGAAAACCTTGGGGTTTAAAACTGCACAATCTAGTGTTTCGAATTGCGTGAGAAGGTGATTAACGGCCATAAAAAATCTCTGTGATTGGTAGTACAAACCAATAATTAGGCAGCGCCATCTTGGAACGTAATCCGCCAGTGAAGGCGTTCAAAGAATTACGAAGTCGGATTTCAGAGCTCACAGAACCAGAACTCATTTTCTAGTGCCAAACACGCCTCTTCAAATTTAGCTATCAATCTCCCACATATTGAATTCGTGACGTTTCAGCTTGTATGCACAAGATTTAAGCCGTGCTTACTAAGAAAAGTACCTCAATTCTACCCATTACGAAGATAATGTTCAGACTCCAAGGCGAGAACTGTTTTCCTGGAGTGATTAAGGACACAAGGGCCCTTTGAGAACCACGAAGAAAAAATTAACACAAACGCGCCGCACCACAGAATTTAATTTTTCCCGTCTGAAAAATTCGATATACCAGCCCTGTGAGAAATACGCAGATTGACGTCATAAAATTAAATTACATGTCTGGGCCACTTTTGTAAACAGTCTCGAAACGCTTCTTTTGTGATGCAATTGAGCCCCTTCGTCGCATTTGTCGAAATCGAAGGGGCGAGATTAACAATCGTCAGCAAGCTCTCTGATGGTCAGACGTGGATTTACCCTAACCAAGGTATTGATTTTGCCATTTTTAAGCCAATTTGCTCATGCAGCCACGGACGAAATTTACGTTTTCACGGTCGCTACCATTTCTATGCGTAGAAAAGCCAAAACGGACCCAACGCAAATTCTGCGGCAGCGTCCTTTTTAAACCAATTCTTTCCCGTAAACGCCTCAATTGGCACTCTCAGAATTCAAAGGGCTCTTGGAACTGTTTGAAATGATGGATTCTACGGGCCAAACTCTAAGAAAACGTTTTTTCCCGGTCGATCTCAGACAATTTTTTTTTACCAAAAATCGACTGCTCCAAATTTTCTCGGGAAAACACTTTTTCTCACTAATTTTGGTGCGTAGAATCCAAAACGATTCGTACTTCTTCGATCAGGCCCCTCAATCAAAAGTTATGGACTAATTACAAATTTCAACAAAAAATCCAAAGGGCTGTAACTTTCGATCTAGTAGTCCAATCTTGGAACTGTTTGAAATTATGGATTCTACGGGCCAAAACCTATAAGAAAATGTTTTTTCCCGGTCGATCTCAGACAATTTTTTTTTCCGGCCTCAAAAAAAGGCAGTGTATTACCTTCCTTTTTTACCAAAAATCGACTGCTCCAAAATTTCTCGGAAAACACTTTTTCTCACTAATTTTGGTGCGTAGAATCCAAAACGATTCGTACTTTTTCGATCAGGCTCCTCAATCAAAAGTTATGAACTAATTACAAATTTCGACAAAAAATTCAAAGGGCTGTAACTTTTGATCTAGTAGTCCAATCTTGGAACTGTTTGAAATTATGGATTCTACGGGCCAAACTCTATAAGAAAATGTTTTTTTCCCGGTCGATCTCAGACAATTTTTCTTTCCGGCCTCAAAAAAAGGCAGTGTATTACCTTCCTTTTTTACCAAAAATTGACTGCTCCAAAATTTCTCGGAAAAACACTTTTTCTCACTAATTTTGGTGCGTAGAATCCAAAACGATCCGTACTTTTTCGATCAGGCCCCTCAATCAAAAGTTATGGACTAATTACAAATTTCGACAAAAAATTCAAAGGGCTGTAACTTTTGATCTAGTAGTCCAATCTTGGAACTGTTTGAAATTATGGATTCTACGGGCCAAAACCTATAAGAAAATATTTTTTCCCGGTCGATCTCAGACAATTTTTTTTTCCGGCCTCAAAAAAAGGCAGTGGATTACCTTCCTTTTTTACCAAAAACCGACTGCTCCAAAATTTCTCGGAAAACACTTTTTCTCACTAATTTTGGGGCGTAGAATCCAAAACGATTCGTACTTTTTCGATCATGCCCCTCAATCAAAAGTTATGAACTAATTACAAATTTCGACAAAAAATTCAAAGGGCTGTAACTTTTGATCTAGTAGTCCAATCTTGGAACTGTTTGAAATTATGGATTCTACGGGCCAAAACCTAAAAGAAAATGTTTTTTTCCCGGTCGATCTCAGACAATTTTTTTTTCCGGCCTCAAAAAAAGGCAGTGTATTACCTTCCTTTTTTACCAAAAATCGACTGCTCCAAAATTTCTCGGAAAACACTTTTTCTCACTAATTTTGGTGCGTAGAATCCAAAACGATTCGTACTTTTTCGATCAGGCTCCTCAATCAAAAGTTATGAACTAATTACAAATTTCGACAAAATGTTCAAAGGGCAGTAACTTTTGATCTAGTAGTCCAATCTTGGAACTGTTTGAAATTATGGATTCTACGAGCCAAACTATATAAGAAAATGTTTTTTCCCGGTCGATCTCAGACAATTTTTTTTTTCGGCCTCAAAAAAAGGCAGTGTATTACCTTCCTTTTTTACCAAAATTCGACTGCTCCAAAATTTCTCGGAAAACAGTTTTTCTCACTAATTTTGGTGCGTAGAATCCAAAACGATTCGTACTTTTTCGATCAGGCAATCGTTTTGGATTCTACGCACCAAAATTAGTGAGAAAAAGTGTTTTCCCGAGAAATTTTGGAGCAGTCGATTTTTGGTGGTAATACACTGCCTTTTTTTGAGGCCGGAAAAAAATTGTCTGAGATCGACCGGGAAAAAAACATTTTCTTATATAGTTTGGCTCGTAGAATCCATAATTTCAAACAGTTCCAAGATTGGACTACTAGGTCAAAAGTTACAGCCCTTTGAACTTTATATGAAGATGTTCTACGGGAGCCAACCCATCATGGATCGAGGTATCCGGAAAAGAATACCTACGTCGTTACCTGATAATAGTGATAACAAATGGATCGTCTGTTTAATGGGTAACCGTGGATGAACAGACAAACAGACGCGCACAATGTACAATTAATAATAATTCAACCGTTCAATAATATTTCAAAAACTTGCCAAAACCATGACGCAGAACGATTGTAAAATAAATGACAATAACAAATGGAATAAATAAAATGAGTTTGCGTATGAAACTACCATCCAGGGTTGGACTGGACAGGATGGATACCGGGAGATTTCCCGGGAGGGCCCTGGGTACCGGGGGCCTTAATTTAATGTTTAATATTAAGTAAATGGCTATTATAACTGTAGAAACTCGATTATATGGGCATTGATTACATGGATTACCTGCTAATCCGGATTTTATTTTGAACAGGCAGATACCTATTAAAGAAAAAGGATTTACGGTGAGATTTAAACATTCCTCTACTTTTCAAAACAAGAATTTATCAATGTTTCTTCCGAATAATTTTATGGCGCGAAAAAATATTATTAAGTAGGACCTTTACCTATAAATAATCCTTGTAGGATAATACACTAATATATGTAAACCCTGCCCAAAAATTAAACTCCTTCACACTGGAACGACGGCACTTCTATTGTACTTCCACTCTCCCAATCTCTACCCCTCTGTTTTTTTTGCAAGTTTGTAACCTTCCCACTCCCCCACGTCACGCTTAAATAGTCGGATTATTAAAATGCACACTTTTCAGCACGTAGTCAACCCACTTTACTTTAATCTGACGCGCTCCAGTAAATTCCAAAATGGGCTCCCCTACTATTGGTTAAGCGTTCACTGAGGCCCACCAAATATCTCTCAAACAAAAAAGACACAAAAGTGCAATTAAGCAAAAGTATTTCCCGGTAGGAATTTACAAATCAGTCCGGCCCTGCTACGATCATCATCGAAGGTAACCTTCACAACACAAAAGCAGTGCCCACTGCCCAATCCAATTGTTTGCGTCTTTTCAGCTGGAAGTGTATCGTTAAAAATGTTCTTTGTCATTTTAGTGAATGCCTGTCCTCGATCACCTGCGATTATAATTGGCCAATTCGGATTTAAATTCACGTAAAGTACAGATCGAAGGGCAGTTTTCGCAGACATGTTTCTTTCCCTAGTCGTAATTCTGCAGGCACTAGGAGTCCTGAATGCGGAGGTGCTGCGTTCCGGTATCGTCAATGGAACCAAGGCTGGAACGCGCCCGTTCCCTCACCAAATTTCGCTCAGGCACCAAGGCGCACACGTTTGCGGCGGGTCGATTGTCAGTCCGATGGCGGCGTTAACGGCAATTCACTGTTTTGGGTGTGTGAGTAAACCGCCTGCTGTTCTTTGGTGGGCACCTTTTTTGTAGGGACAAGAATCCCAGGAATTATGTGGTTGTCGTCGGTATTAAAACTTTGAAGGAGAGGGGGGTCGTTCACAATGTCGCAAAGATCATATTGTCAAATGAAATCACCGACGTCTTCAAATTCGACCTAGCCATTGTGAAGGTTGTAAAACCTTTTGTTTTCAACAAGTTAGAGGCGCCGATAGCGCTCGATAGAGAAGGAACCGCAGAAGCAACCTGCATTACCAGCGGTTGGGGTTTTACTCGCGCAAATGGACAGTTAAGTCAAGATTTGCTGTTCCTCGAAGTGAATACCATCACCAATCGGGAGTGCCAACTCAGGCAACCACGCCGTTCTCAAATTATATATAACTCTCACATATGTACGAGCACGCCGCAAGGGAAGGGAGTTTGTCAAGGTGATTCTGGAGGTCCCCTAGTTTGTAACGACACACTGGCGGGGATTACTTCATTTGGATGGCCTTGCGCGCTTGGTTTTCCGGATACCTTCGTACGGGTGTCGACATTTATCCAGTATATCGACTTTTACCTGGACCAGGATTAATAATCTACAAAATAGGTACTTAGATTGTCTCAAACGGTATTATAAAATTGTTTCAATGAAATTTGTAAAAAAAAGAATTGTTTTTCTGGAAATCCCTGAACATTTTATTTAATTTTGATTGTTTACGTTTATGTACTACTATTTACCTTCAAACATACGGCGCGGCGTCTAAATCAACCCTCTAGTCGTCCAACTTTGGAAATTCGTTTAATGAGGATTAACTCGCAAAATCACGTTGCTCAATGGCGCTCTTTTTTTTACTAAGAGGTTCGTGTTTGTTGAGTTTTAAATTTCCACGTTAGATTTTAGCTCGAAATGCGCAACATTGTATTTAAAATACGCGTGGACTGACCTTCCGCTTTAACCAGACTGCTAAATGATCGTACCTGTCACTCTAATGCTACAGATTTACCAAGGAGCCTGCTCTCCTTTTTTCGTAAATTGAACGTCGGCCTTTTCCGAATTAACGGACACCACCTACCCACCAGTTCAAGAGCCCCCTGCATAAGTTCTTTCACGGTGTTTGGAAACTTTCCAGTTTCGAGACCCCCACGTGCCTCATAGTCATCAAATGCTCCTCCCTGCGGAATAACATCTTCTATAGGCTTGTCCTGAAACCAGGATTTTTCCTCTGGAGGCGCTTCAAGATGGTTGCCGTATCATCCGGGAGCCCGTATAACACAGCGTTCACTTTGATTACCCTAGGAACGTGCCTCTGAACTTTCAGGGTCTAATCAGAGGGAGGGACCTCCCCAACCAGTCCAAAGTGCACTGCGGATTCCAACGAAACCCTGCCAGTGGCTTGACCCGAAGTTTTCCCTCGAGCCGGCGCTTCCTGACCATCGCCTTCTGTGCCCCAGTCCTATTCTTCTTGCGACTAGGAGCTGGCCCGCCACCAGGTCTTTGAATAAGGCCCTGGGTTGGAACCGTCCCCGCTTACCTGTTACCGGACTCCTTCTGAGCCCAGAAAGGGTTTGTTTGATTTATCATCCATACAATTCCCACGAGTGTTGCGGAAATCCGGTCTTCCCGAAGGAAGCACGCCACCAGGTCCGCGGGCACCGTTCTCGACACTGCACCCCAGTGCTACGCAGTTCTCGGCGCGTTCGCTAACACCTTGACTTGGGAAATTGGAGTCTTGGAGTCCACCCCGAAGCACGAGTCACTTTACGATCATTCTCCTTATCCGCCACCCGGGGACGTGCCCGACAGTTACCCAACCGCACGGGAAAATTAAACTTTATAACGCCAGCTTGGACAGAACGCGTCGCGCATCCCCACTTACGCCGAAATTAACGCGCACATCTTTGATCACGTGCGCTAATTAAATCCCGTCCGATAACAAAACCTCTTATCACAAACGACCAGATGTGCCTACATTTTAACACGGAATTTCACGTTTTACAATTAAATAATCAAATTTAAATAAACAACTTACAAAAGTGATCAACTTTAAACACAAAAAAAAGAAGAAAGAAAAATAACTCTGAGACAAATTCAAGCAATATGAACCAACTTTGTGCTTATTCGTAAATAATCCCCCCGATTTACCCTTAATAAATTGAAACACTGCTCGCATACAGGGTGTCCCGTCATTATTTTGGGCCTGTAAACCGAAAGAACATCAACATGAAATTGTTAACAGAACTGTAGAAAAAAATTTGATAATAGTACATCAAATTTTTTTCTGCATTGTTTCCATCCTTTCTATTATCCTGTACATTCATTTTTCTCATCTTCCACTCCTCGTCCAGTATTTCTTTCGTGCTTTTTCTTGTTCTGTTTATCATCTTTCATCTGTTTTTGTTACCGTGATTTCTTTTTGTATTCTCTGTTTCGTAATCTCTTTCTCTTACATTTACCTCTGTACTTTTTTCTGTTCTCTCAACTGCTTCTCTTCTATCTCTCCCTTTCTATCTTTTTCCATAATTATTCTGGATCTGTTTCTCTCTGTCCCACCGTTCCGTTCAGTTATCTATCTCTCTTGCACTCCGTCTTATTTCTTCTCTTTCTCCACAGTGTCTTTAACAAGTTTCTTTCCACAGTATTTGTACAATGTACGAAATTACTTTTGATTTTCCGATTCGGACTCGGGAATAGTTCAGTCTTTGAGTACAGCTCACATAATCTCCAACGCGAGTCTAAAAAATCACAGTTATTTTGACGTGATCTCAACGACGGCTCAAGACGTTTTAGCGGCCGATAAGGAAAACAAGGTGCCGTATCTAGTGGTTCAGTTTTCTAATTCTTCCCGTAGAGATATTTTAATTATTCTTGCAGCCTCCGAAAGCTCCCGTCATTAATATTTCCGTTCTGTTTATTAATTATTAGATTTTAGAGTCCCAATGCTAATTAAAAACTAGGATAGAAACGAACAAGGTCGCCGTAGTACGACAGATAAGCAGACCGCTGACTTGACACGAGAATTCCAAGTAAAAACGGGCCTTACTCGACTACCGAATTGTGGAACTTTACGCTGACTAATCAAGTGCTTATAATTAACCGTACTTAATTAATTGGGTTACAGCAAACGTTATCAAAATAGTCCGTGTGTGGTGTCAAATGAAGCGCGCTTAATTAACATTAATTTTAAAATTAGTCCCAGAATTGTATCATAACAGGGGACCGAGTAATTGATTTAAAAAAATTTAATTTTGAGATCTGTCGCTCGAGTTCGCCGTGCTGTTTGGGAAACCCAGCGTTTCCTTGATTTAGAGGGGATTTTTTGTATTTTCAACATTGACGGTAAAACTTTTGGCGTTTGTTTACCGTAATAAATTAAATTTCTCCGTACCATTGTACTTAAAACTGAACTCTACGACGACTCAAGACGTAATGTAATTTTTTAAAAAGAAAACCCGATCATAATTTTTTATGCAAATCAAAAAAAAGATTACGTTACCGTAATTACATTGTTTTCGAGAATCAATGGTTGCACTAGAAGGTACAGCCGTTCCTTAAAAAGATGGCGCCTTACAGCTCGACAATATAAAAGTGAAAAATTGGATCTCTTGTGGAGTTAAAGTTCTTAAATCTTCCTCGGACGGCTACTTTTTTGTATATGAGATTGATCGGGATTTATTTATTTCGACTGCATTCAAACTAGCTTTCCACTTCCTTAATATGAGCTCTTATTAGTACTAAAGCACTAAAAAGGTCAAACGAGTTCAAGGCCAGACATCGAAACGCCTTTGGGCAATATCCGATGCAAAATGGAACTTCCCCTTTCACCAATCGCAGGCCGTCACTTTTACTTATTTAAATTAGCCTCTGACACTCTCTCCAGGAAATCCTCAACAATGAGCCAAATCAAATGTAATCTGATAGAATAAACAAGCTGTCATTTTTCAATCGTTTACTTTTTCGATATAAAAAAATCGAATAAAGGAATTGTGCACGCGGTAACCTTCGCAATACAAAAGTGCTGCATCCATAATATGTTGCATTGTTCAGATAAGTGCAACATAAACACCTTCTTTGTGAGTTATTTTTTGCAATTCGCTTTTATGCTCGGAAACTGCTAGCACCGTGCAGTAGTGTGTATGCCATCGACATGTTGTTTTTCTTTGTTGTGATTCTGCAAGTGTTCTGTGCCCATAGTGCGGTGGTGCTGCGTTCCGACATAGTAAAAGGAACCAACGCTGCGAAGAGCCAGTTTCCTTACCAGGTTTCGATCAAGCATCGTGGTTCACACACTTGCGGAGGATCGATTGTTAATCTGAACACTATTGTAGCGGCAGCTCACTGTTTTAAGTATGTGCGTGAGCTAAGAGCTGCTCTTTGATACAAATTCTCTTTGTAGGGACCCAATTGTCGCGAATTATAGGGTCGTGGCGGGCATCACAAATTTAAGGGAGAAAGGTGTCGTTCGCAAGGTAGCCCGTATTATACTGTCGAAAGAAATTACCAACGTTTTCGTCTTCGACGTAGCTGTTGTGAAAGTTGAGCAACCGTTCGTCTTCAACGCCCTAGTGGCGCCTATACCGTTGGACAAGAATGGAACTAAAGAAGGAACTACCTGTATCGCAAGCGGCTGGGGTTTAACTCGGGCAAATGGATCGGTGAGTCAAGATTTGATGTTCGTCGATGTGAAGACCATGACCAATGAGCAGTGTCAGGAGATGCAACCGTACCCTAGTCAGCGCATTTACAAGTCCCACCTATGTACCAGTACCGCAGAGGGAAAAGGAGTATGTCAAGGCGATTCTGGAGGCCCTCTTCGATGTGAAAATGCACTTTGTGGAATTACCTCGTTCGGATGGCCTTGCGCTCGTGGTGCTCCCGACGCTTTTGTGAGGGTGCACCTATTCGTTGAATATATTGAGTATTACATGAATCAACCGGCAAATTAAATTGTCTCAAATAGTATTTAACAGAAATTATTTATAGGACGTAAAATCAGAAGGAAACTAAATTAAATTGTATTTATTTTTACCAACCTCGGCTTGCCCAAATTACACAAGACTCTAAATTTACTGTGTCTGTAGACACTACCTAAATTAAATCTACCCACGTTCAATGTTCATCAAACACCACCCATTTTTACCGATTATTGTTTCGTTCCTGAGGGTGATAGTTTGAGACGATATTACCCTTAGAGATCGCTTGGGTCGTTAACGAGGTTCCGTTTTGGCCACAACAAAAATGCAGCGGAAACAAAAGATCCTGCTCTACTATTGGTTTAAAAGGGACGCCGCTCGGGGAAATTCCGTTGGTTCCGTTTTGGTAATCTTATAAATAGCGAAGGTCACAGCGAGATAGGAAGCGTACATCTCGTCTGCGTGTTTTTAAAACCGAAAAAGCCGAACAGAGGATTACTAGTAGTCATATAAGGCCAAACTTGAACCAGTCCAAGACACCTTGAAAGTAGGTTAAGGTGATGCTCAAAGTCAGCCACTTTCAAGATTACTCAAGATCAACGACCTCACTTCTTTCACGGTTCCACATAGGTTAAGGTGAACTTTAAAGGTCGTTCGGCACTTGGAATTGACACAAAGGTCTGTTTGGTCGTTTCCCCCTCTAGGACGCCACGTGGTAATTTCGGAAATTGAGTCAAAGCTTTGTTCGATCAGTCGTTGACTTGACATGGATAGCGTATGCTGAGCGCTCAGGACCAAAGCAAGCGATAGCCATATAGGGATAATGGGGATATCTCTACTCCATGTAAAATACCATGAGGTAAAATTCAGGTGCCGTCAAAGTTATCTCGCTCGCCTCCTGGCGATGACTTTCAAAACTAAATAGACGATGTGGTGATCTTCGAAACTCAGTTAGTGTAAAGTTCAAAAGTTGGTGGTCGTCCAAAGTCCAAAGGTTGGTGTACAGTTCGAAAGGTGCTAGCCGTTTAAAGTCCAAAGGTTGGTCGCCGTTCAAAATCCAAAGTTTGCTCTGGTCTGCAATCGGTTAGGCTTTTGCGCGTCAAGATAGCGCCTGCACACACTTAGAAGTCGTTGACACCACAAAGATTGGGGACATTAACCTATGATCTTAAAAATGGAATATGACAGCAAGAAATAAGATCATTTAACGTTGAAAAAAAATGACACCCCAAAATTGGGGTTGTGATCCTCTGGTTACCTTAAACATAAAATATGACACCGCAAAATGAGGTCATGACCGCCAACTAACCTTTGCACTTTAAACGGCGATCAGCCTTTGGACTTTAAATGGCGACCAACTTTTGGACTTTGAACGGCGAACAATCTTTAGACTTTCTCATACATTTACACTTGCGCACATGCAGATTTAACAAATTATGAGATTCTTCGCAAGGCGATATAACCCACTTAAAAATAGAGGCATAAATAAATAAAGCTACAGCCGCATAAGAAAGATACCTAGGCATACTTAGGATTGCAATAATAGTCCATTATAAGTCATCCGTAAGCCATAAGTAACAATAAACTGCTCTGCGGCTTCTTAAATACACTATTGAAGGTCAATAAAGGTTAAAAACTGGCTCATTAACCCTGGATGATCTAAAAAATAAAATTTGACACCTCAAAAATAAGGTCACCAGCAACTGATAACCTTGAAAATGCAATATGACACCTCAAAAAATGGAGATCATTGAACTTTGATAACCTTAAAAATCGAACACCACAGAAAAATAGGGTCGTTTACCTCTGATAAAATAAATTGGGGTCATTGAGCTTGAATATCCTTGAAAATTAAATATTGTACACCAAAAAGGGGCCATCAACCTTGAAAATGAAATGATATAATAATAATGAAGTTATTAAACTATGTTGACCTTGAACATATGAATAGATGGAATTAAAAATGGGACCATGGACGTTTTAATGACTTTGGGAGTAAAAATGAGGCCGTTGGCCTTTGGTAACTTTGAAAGAGAAACACAAAGAATGAAGGCATTGACCTCCGATGACCTTGAAATCGAATGGTCTTGAGCCTTACTTTCTACGGTCACCGTAAGGTGACGAACGACCTTGAACCGGTCAAGGTTCCGCGTTATATGGCTACTGTTACTTGTTATTTTCCAGATCGATATACTTCATATTACCAGAAAGATCTGTAAATTCTGAGGAACATCTGGCAACACCTTCGGATATCCAGATAAATCTGTAAGTGTAGATTTTTGTTTAAATATTCGCCGTTTAATTCGTTTATGTTATCGTTCAGTTAGTAAGTTAAAGAACAATGTTTTGTTAAAGTTATCTCTTGTAAATCCGGTCCTTGCGATAAGAAGTTTCGTTATCGCTGCGTATGCTAATTAAGTTTATAGATCAGCGGGTTTCGGCGATAAGAAAGCACATGATATATTCAATGACGCAGTAACTTTGATAAAAAGGAGAAAATGGTTCTGAAAGTAAAACCACAAAACCACTCACAAAATGGCGCTATGTAATTAAATCGGTCATAGTTATTCAAGAACGAAACAGATTTTCGTTCAGTCCCACCAATAAAAAACACGAGGATACTAAATAAAATTCGGAGAGGCGACGAAGAAGCAAAGGAAACAAGCTCATTGCAATAAGGGTATACTTTTTTAATTCGCATAGTGTGATTCGTGGTTTTCCATTGTAAACTTCAGTGATTAACCCATTATCAACGAAGCGCACCTTGGCATCAGGAAAGCTGAAGCCGCATCAATCGAGTAAGGAAATCTCCGCAATGTGGACGGAACGTAAGGCAAATTTGTCCACCAATTGCTGTCAACTTCACATACCACGAATACGGGTCTCGACCTAGGGGAATCCTTAACCAAAATGGTTGCTTCCAAGCTTAACCGAATCAGAGGTATTGTAGAAAAATTGGTTACTGTGACTTGGATATCTTAGGGGTAGGGTAATGAATTTATTTAATTGTCAAAGCTACAGTGTGGTTCAAACACGAAGTGCTTGGTGCTACATAATATCTTAAATACACTACAATTCACTTCTTACAACGATGAACAATAACCGCAGCAGCGAACGCCATTACCGATAAAAGCATACCAAAGCAGTACACCATTAAAACACCACTCAGGTGCTCAAATGACAACGCGACCACTTCTTCATCGGCGATGTATTCCCTCTTTTTCGAATCTGCGTACCATTTTCGCTCAGTATCAACCCTTGAGTACAGTCCGCTTTCGGTCAATCGGTCAACAATTTCGTCCAAACTATCGATGAAGTAGCAGTCAGTTCGTGAGGAAAACGCTTTCAAAACGTTAGGAGTAATAGTGCTGTCAATGAAGTAGTTTGGGGTTCGTAATTTGAAAGTTAATTCGAGTGCGTTTAGTGTCTGGAGTACAATAGGCATAGCAAAATTTCGATAATTAGACCATAATTTCAGTAACGTATACGAACTACGCCATATGTCACTATTGAGCTCTTCATATACTTTCTTATACGTTACATTCCACTCGGGTTTCCATAAGTGCATCTCGAAGATGACCCTAGTGTAAGTACTAAATTCTGAATCGGTTTCTCCATCTGTGGGGATGTCAGTAGTAGCATTAAGCTCGAAACATACGCCGTTTGTATATGAATACTATATACAATGTAGCACAATATTAAAAACCTTAACGTTGAAGCCGTGGGAATGCCACTAGTGCTCGCAAACAGCGTGATACTGACAGTGTCCATAACAACGTCCCCAAAACCCGCCTGAAATCTGTTGAGAGTATACCAAGCTAACGTAAATAAAACAAACGCTAGCAGAACTAGTAACCACACTTTCTTCTCGAAGGGCATGATCTGAACCTCCATTGCGGGTATTTTACCCGGCGGTGGGGTAATCCATACCAGATCCCCCTTGTATACACATGACTGATGCGATAATTTAAATAAACAAAATTAGTTAGCATGAGGTCCAGAAAAGCAATCGTTTTACGAACTTCTGTCTCTTTACACGTTGAAAACTGCGCCACAATTACTGAAACGTTTAAGACTTCCATCGCAACTCGAACTGTGTAATTCTCCGGACTGAATGGATCGTAGCCCTCCTTTAGAACGATGTACGTTGCGGGGCATCGATTATAGTTTCGTATGGCCTTGGGATGAGGGTCCGTGTGTAAATTATCGCAACTTTGATTGTAAATCGAATTCGGCGTCCTTCCGCAACGATTCTCTGCATCGTGCGGGTTCGACGAGAATAAGAGCGACTTTGTACAGTTGCTCCTATCGATTACCAACACTGCAACGTAAATAATCTTGTTCGCCCAGAAATAGTGAAAAACTGGCCTCACTAGTGATATCTTGTCGGATATCACTAAAAATTTTCCAGTGACAGAACGAAACTCATTCCATATGGAATCGCACCATATTGAATAGCTGAGGCTTTGTCGAAGGTACCTAAAGTCATTAACTTCCATTGCGACGTTGTAAATTGGCTTCTGGGTGCGGTTACAGTCTAAGTGCCGTGAAGTGTTCACAATCACTTTTGGATTTTTTGTTTGGAAAGGCAACATGTCACCTGTATCGTCGTTGGTAATGTACAATACAGTATCCTCCTTAAAAATCGTTTCCATTACTTTTTCGGTACATACCTGACACGCAGTTTCTTTGCTTTTCATTGGTAGATTCGCAATCGGAAGAATTACAAGGCCCGCAATTAGTAAAATATGTTCCAACATTGTATTAACACGTCTGTGTTTATCGAAGGTGTGCTGCAATATCAAGGGAGAACTGTTAAACAAACACATTTTCCAGTTATCGACTGAAATAATTAAAGCGCTTCGTGGGAATGAAACACATCTAGCGTGTAATTTATTCTCCATCTAGGTCAGACATAATCGCATAATGGTTAACAATCAACTCAAAACCTTCAGTTTCAAAACCATTGAATGCCATACAAACCATTTGAGATGAATTCTAGAAGTTCCATAGTACCTTAGCCGTTTGAGATG